CGAGGTCGATGTGGGACAATTTAATTTTCACTGGAATTAAGGAGGAAGACAACGAATTACCGGAGAATTTATTACAGAATTTCCTCAAAAAGGAGATGCGTTTTGGTGAGGGCATAACTTTTGAACGAGCGCACAGGAGAGAAAAGAGAATAATTGGTATACATCGATCGATAGTGGCAAAGTTTTCATCCTTTCGAGATCGGGAGATGGTGAGGAAAGCTGTGCCGTGATATTCTAGTTGGCAAACCCTTTGGAGTCAACAAACAATTTCATAAGGAGATCAATGAAAAGAGAAAGCTTTTGATGCCCCATTTGAGAGCAGCAAAAAGGAATGGAAAGAAGGCTGTTTTGTTGGTGGATAAATTATTCACTGACGATCATGAGTTTATCCCCCCTGATATACATCAGAGCACGACACGTGGAACTACAGAGGTAGTACTACTTAGCAAGATGCGATTCATGCCACGGGTCACAACGTACTTGCAGTCTTTCAGACCATGCTGAGAGAGAAAGATGAGGGAGACCTTGCTGGATGATTTTGCAGTGCACCCGTCACATGGAACATAATAGAGAGAAGTGTTGCTTTGTAGAATATGTAGTCATAAAAAGTATGACTTAGAGACATTTTCAAATGCAAATAACAAATCTTATTTAAGCATACAAGTATTTCATGATCCATATCTTTGTTTAAGCTTTATATAAACAATGTCTAATAAAAGTAGGTAATTACCATGTAATATACAGTAACTAGATTTTGTCACTGCAAAAAACGATAAAAAACTTACCCTTGTATTGCCTTTATTTTTACTGTAAAATTAAAAGAAAATTATATTAGTGACACCTTATCAAGGGATTCATAATATGTGTATACATGTACAAAATTGTTTCATGAGTGTTCATTTGAATGCTATATGTGTATTACTATAATAAGCCCATCTTCTGTAGGTCCTGCTTGGCATTGTACAAATAATACAGAGATATTCAAAATTTGATAAGTCACTGAAAATCATTCACTAAAAGTGTTCTGAACACTTAATTATGATCATTTTTAAATACTTAAGCACCAAAACATCTCATTGTGAAACTTTCTAATTGAATATTACATTTCTATCACAGAAAACATCAAAATGTAAGCACTCTTGCTTACAAATTTGCAAACATTGAACAAAGCATTCTTAAGTTATAAACTAGGAACTCTGAAAACATTCTGAAGACTGGAATTATTCTAATAGTTCATATTCTCTGCATCCCTCCTGCATGCAACACTTACAATGAATCAGCTCTGTTTAGGTGGGACAACATCCCTGGTGAAGAGTTGACTTTTGGCAGTGAAGCTGGCATAGTTTGAGAGCCCTAAAAACCAAAAGATCACGTTAGTTGGAATTACATCTAATTTCAATGAAACTTAAGTTTCAGAGTGGAGGGGCTGCCTCCTAAGTGTGTACCACCAGCTGGGTGTATATTTGAAGCAAGACAATGATACAAAATTTCCTTTTGGCTTAGAACTCAAACATAACATAAGACAGATTTACAACAAGTAGATATCTAGAGCAAAGATTATGAAACTTTTGGTAAAACACAACATGACGATTAAACCAGCAAAAATGCACCAACTGACCTTCAAAGGGCAGATCAGGTGTGACCAAAATGCCACTCAGCATTAGAATGAAAATGTTGAAGTTTGTGAAAAAGTAACGATGACAAACTTTTGAAACTAAAAAATGCCCCTTTTCCATTTTAAATGATGAGTCAAAATAAGTGATTCCAACTCATTTCATCATTAAAACATGAAACATGTTTAAGAGAAGGAATTAATTTTGTTTAAGCATAAATGAGCCTCAACCCTGTGGAAATGCACCAACTGACGTAGAAAAACCAGGGCAGAGCAAAAGGACTTAGCATGCAATCATAATCATTAAAATATAAATGGAGATACTGGTTGTGAACAATAGTTACATGTAGTGGTACAATAAACAGAATGTCAAACACGAGTACATACAGACAAATATTTATTACTGCATGAGCTTGACAAATTTATTGAAACGCCACTACATCATCTAAATAAGAATGCTCAGTTTACTGACAAATTTGGCATAAAATTATTAGAATTGTTAAGTTAAAGCTTACTGGAATATTTTCAGTACGTGCCACTGTCTCTGCTGCAGGAGAAAGAGCTTCCCATGCCAAAGTCTGGCCCTGCGTGAGTGTCAGGCTCCCCGTTGGCTCAACTGTTGCAGTGGCGGCTGCTAGTCTGCGTCTGGCCCTCTTAGCTCCTTTCACCAGCTCCTTCACACAGTGGGCTGCAGACACAAGAAAAAAAAGATTACAATAAGCAGTTCTTATGACTTACTGGTATATGTAAAAGTAAATTACAATAAGCTGTAATATAACTTACATATACCAGTAAGTTTGTCCCACATTTGAACAAGTTGTGCAGTCAATTAATTATAAAAAATTAAGCAATCAGGAACACAAAAATTGTAAGGTACAGATATGGAAAATTGTTTATTATAATATAAAAATCATTACAAAACTGCAGCTCAAACATCTTGTTTACCTAATCTGATCCACAATCATCTTACCATTTCTTTTGGAGTAATCCAGATTTTCATTTTAATTTTCTTTTTATCTCACAAAGTGTATTGTATCATGAACTTTCAGAAACTCTTTTCATTTCTAACAAAAGATTTTTTACCTGGAAACCACCCTGTTTTTCCTCTAGCTGTCCCCTTAACAAAGTCTCCACTCTTTTCTAATATAGTCACTTCATCTCCCATATGAAGGTCTAACTGGGAGTCGTTCTTTTTACGATATGCACTTATCACTTTTATCTTAGTCTCTTGCCGCCTGCGACGCTGCATTCTCTTTTTCATTTTCCGTTCCTTTATTTCAGTGGATGTCAGCCCTGTGTAGTCATCTTCCTCCTGTTGTTTGTATGAAGAAATATCAAGACTTAATAAAAAAAAATTGTTTTCCATGAATGCAAGATACACATAACTTTACTTTTTGGTAAGTAAAGAGACATTAAATACTTAATAGCTAGAGAAAAATGTATGTATGCACACATGATTCATGTTCACATGTGTGATATGTGTATCACACATGTGTGATACACATATGCATTTTATTGGTTCTTAATATAACAAACAATAAATTGGTGACTTAACAAAATGATATTTTACAAAGGGAGGGGAGATGTGGCCTACTGTACACCCCCATGAATCCAACAATGGAGGACATGTATACTAACACTTTCTTCCAACTCGTCCCTTAGACTTTGTGAGGGAGGGGAGGCCATCACTTCTGTCAACCTGACATTACTACCTGCCAGGCTCTGAAATGCCCAAAAAATTCTCATTACACCTACAAACGTCTACAAGTGAATATAAACATCTTCCACCACTGACAGATAGATTCAAATAAAGTTTTATTAGTTACAATTATATCCAAAGAATTATCATGATTTATGTAAAGATACAGGAATTCTTACTGTGTGACTGAGACTGTGTCTGGAGAGAGCAGGGATGGACATTCTTCTCCCTCCTCCAGCAGCTCCATGACTCACAACCTGCACAGTGGGGTCTTCTCTGTCATCCTGACACAAACAATGAAAGAAACAATCAATATCTTTAGATTTTTAAAAGAGTCCAATCAACCAATACTCAAGGTTATTTTGTGGCAATACTTTTTTAGCCTACTAAACCCTGAGGTCAGCAAGGACTGAGAACCTAGCTACTTAGTACTGGAAAAAAGCAGAAACTATTTGCCAGTTACTGAACATGCAGATAAACAAAAAAATACAGGGCCATTGTTTAAGTTGCAGACTGTTAAGGACACATGATAGGGGATACAGGCCATCCAAGATTACGACCTGTTTTTTCCTACAAAATTCCAGGAAGTCCAAGTATGCCAAAAGCTGGCATATTTCCAAAAAATCCATAAGGCATCCAGCCGTCTTTGAAAATAAAGGCCATCACACAAACAAATGGACTAAAAAGTACCTTTTCAAATCAATTGCAGACTTCTTTAGTTTTTTTTTCTCTTTTAATGAAGTGAAATCCTAGTGTGACCTACCCTAGAACTGGCTAGAATACTTGTGAAAAACTTCTTTGCAGTCTCTGAAAACTTTTCCTGGAAAAGAAAATTAAAAGAAAATGTTTACTGATGCATTTTTATGCATATTTCCGGATACATTCAGGTCCTCAAAACTTCAAACGTTTGATTTGTGTGTGTGTGTGCATGTATGCAAGCATGCATGCATGTATGCACATGTGCGTACATGTGTAACTTCAGTATATAATAAATTACATACCTGTGTTTCTGCTTCAGGGCCTTGTTCTGAATCACTTGGTTCTTCCACTGCTCCAAGCTTGTTAAAGGCCTCAATGGTTATTGCCACAAACAGACTGGAAAAGCCAAGTTGTAATCATGTCACACACATTCAGTGTAACTGTGACACCAAATGTGTGTTAATTTTGCTTCCTCTATGAGTAACAGCAATTTACTAGGTAAATAGAAATGGGCAGTAAACAAAATACTATATTATATTTCAGGTCGTTGGAAAATTCCTGCTAACTCCTGTGATACCTGACTTTTCAAATCTCCATATGCATTTGTAAACTTTAAGACTCTTAGGGTGTTTGATTGAAGTTTGCCACACATATCCAGATTGGATATGTAGAAGGACATGTGACACAGCCAACAGTTTCATGATTGCTACATTTTACTTTTAATCAAAGACTGCTGAAGTTCAGATGTGACAAGTGGGCAAGTATGGACAAATGAAGAGGCCGACCAGGAAAGGAGCTCTAAAATTCAGGCTACACAATCCTGCTTAGCTAATTTCTTAACAAACAGAGACTTGTGTTTTAATTTGCAAATGCTTACTTCATGACCACTAGATTGATGACCACAAAGGCAGACACAAAGTACAGAGATGCCCAGTCATTGGTGGACTTCATTGCATCATTCATCATGTCGTGCCAGTTACTGGTGGTTACAAGCTGAAAAGTATGCAGCAGGGAGCACCTGGAAAATAATTTTTGTAAACACGTATGAAACAAATTTGGGCAGGAAAATGCATCTTTACCATCACCATCATCATATTCTAACTCTATGGCAGCTCTGGATAATCATTACTAGAATGAGAAGCAGAAGAAATAATCATTAGCAGAAACAGATGCATCAGTAGCAAATATCAGCAATGTCAACAGGGAAGTGCAAGTGAATTGGCAGGTGGCAGGATAAGATTAAGAGACTGACTACTAAATGTGCTTAGGAAATGAAATCACATCAATTAACACAGCATGGCAGATGGCTGGATTAAATAAGAATTAAATAATNCCAGTCATTGGTGGACTTCATTGCATCATTCATCATGTCGTGCCAGTTACTGGTGGTTACAAGCTGAAAAGTATGCAGCAGGGAGCACCTGGAAAATAATTTTTGTAAACACGTATGAAACAAATTTGGGCAGGAAAATGCATCTTTACCATCACCATCATCATATTCTAACTCTATGGCAGCTCTGGATAATCATTACTAGAATGAGAAGCAGAAGAAATAATCATTAGCAGAAACAGATGCATCAGTAGCAAATATCAGCAATGTCAACAGGGAAGTGCAAGTGAATTGGCAGGTGGCAGGATAAGATTAAGAGACTGACTACTAAATGTGCTTAGGAAATGAAATCACATCAATTAACACAGCATGGCAGATGGCTGGATTAAATAAGAATTAAATAATCGAAGGGGCCCAAAATCTCACTAATCAGACAGCAATCGTGAAATAATTTCATGCACAATATTTCAACAAAAAAGACATAAAATTTTGTTACTCACACCATGGAGTTCCTAAAGTAAAGAAAAATAAGAACAAGAATTTAATTTGTAGGTTAAGTCTTGGTGTAATGATAGTGTTATGTATAAAACAGTAATCAATTTTAAAAAACAGCTGCTTAAAAAGAACGCAACATTTCATGTCATAATGCCACAGACTCATAGTTGTGTCCAGTTTGTTATGTTTGTTATTTCAGTCAATTTTAGCAAAACCCATTACATGCAGGCATTACAAAGGCAAAACATTTCCTCCATCCCAGTGTACCACAAACTTTTCCCATTCACAATAAGAAAGAAGGCCACAAAGAATATTGGATGTTTGAGATTTGGCCAAAAAAGGCTGCTTTTCTTATATAACCCTACTATCCTAGCTAATCATTTTAACAATGTTACCAGTGTTGCCTGTATTAAATGTTATGGCCTAAGGGATAAAAAGTATATATCAAATATTCAATACGACTCATCATCCTAAAAACCATGATGCAATGAGTACTAGTAAGCAAAAGTTATTATTTACAATTTTGCTCAATTTCATTTGAGGGGTTACAAAGAGGCTTTAATATAATTGTGGGGTCTCCCTTGCCCAGTGCACTTGGGCTCCTATGTTATGGCCTCTATGAATATTATACAATTCATTGCCTGGGCTGGGCATATACCAGTTTTATACAAAAGTGTGTTCTGAATCCTTTTCTTAAATGAACCATTCTTTAGAGATTGGTGCAAAATATATCAATCAGAATTTTTCTTGTGACACTTAGAATTCTCAATAACCACCATAGCCTCTAGCCTCAAACTCATAACATATTTTTAAGACCATCTTTAACTTAACATGTCTTAAACAAAGAAAAAAATTACAGGATACGTTTAATTTTTTTTTTTTACATTTTAGTAAGAATATTACTTTCATTATCTTTATGCTTTGAGACATCATAAAGAGAAATGTTAGTTGTGACAGAGGAATGTGTTGGTTGTGACAGAGGAATGTGTTAGGTATGACAGTAAGTGTGATAGAGGAGTGTGTTAAGTGTGACTAAGAACATTGACAGCTGAAAGGCCAATACTTACCACAGGGATTCAAAGCCTAGACCACAATCATACTCATAATGTTGAACAGATGCACCCGAGGAATCTGTCTGCCCATAAAAGATTTCTAATCCAAGGACAGCATAGAAAAACCTGTAAACACACAAAAAAAAGAAAGAAATTTTGCCTGCTTCTATAGCTTGCATTTTAGTATCCATTTAATATCCATTGGCAAAGAATGACCTATTTCATGTTATGTGAAAATGCAAAAAAAAAAAAAAAATGCAATATGTGTACTCACATAATGATCACCACCATAACAATCAAGTCAAACATGACAGGATGAATCTTCATGATAATTAGAACTGCTTTCTTTGTCTGGCGGGAGTTTAACCCAAGCCTACAAAACACGGCGAGACATGATGTCACCACCATAGCACCTTTGTAAGTCATTGGGTCCACCTCTTGGAACACACTCGGCACAAAATACCACAATGCATTAGTCAAAATGGCCACAACTGATAAAATAATGTCGAGGAACTCAAGGGGTTGTTTCAGTTGCTTGCCAATGCCTATTAGCTTTAACAAGATTTCAACCTGGAAAAATTAATAAGTCTTAAAAGTAATAATAAGAGAGAGAAAAAATTCCATTTGTCTGCTTCAAAGAAAACAAAATATTTACTAACATGGTGAGTCTAAACTTACATGTATAAGGACTAGGTTTTGTTAAAGGAAATAATTGAAGACTGTTACTTAAAATTAACATTAATCATATATGGGTTAGATTTTAATGATCCTTATTACCCATAATTCATACTGCTCAATAAAAATACAATTTTACACAAAATCTGGGTCATTTAAGTATGTTAAGTATCAAAGAAAAAAGCTACATGTATGTTAAAACACTTACAAAAAATATAGAGATGATGCAGGTCTTCAGGGCCTGAACTATCAATTCGTCTGTTTCTTTCATCCCATGCCACTTGATACAGAAAAGAATACTGAAATAAAAACATGCATGAATAATAACTTTTGGTTTGCAGTCAAATGGCAAATACCACTTAATTAAAATACCTTATACATGCTGAGTGAAATATCTTGCATAAATTTGGCAAAATTTATGTGCACTGTATTATGTCAATTGGCAACAGACAGGGGCGGATTTAGGGCGCCTTCTGGGTGTTCTGGAAGACGGTCAGATTTTCATGTTTACATTGGCGGGTATCTAATATTTTCTGTCGGAAGACGGTCAAAAAATGGAGGATGGATTAACAAAGATAATTTGGAAGACTGTCATAAAATATCTTTGGATCCGCCCCTGACAGAGCCATGTTACAACTCAACATTTTTTGGGAAGGGGAGGGGGGCTGGCAAGGTTTCACCTACCAGTGTCAACCTACCTGTGAACTACTATTAAAATGAGAATTGCTCTTGTAAATATGGTGGAGTCTATGAACTGTTTCACTTTTGCAGACATCTTTGAAGCACATGTCTTTTCCTGCAACTGATAACAAGATAGCAAATTCACTAATTTTGCACGAATAAAGAACATATGAAACACATCTCATCTACCAATTTCAAAATGATAGTTTAGTCAAAGAAAGATCTCATCTACCATTTTCAAAATGATAGCAAAGTCAAAGAAAGATTAGCCAATTTTTGTAGTTTAAACCTTCTTAATTAAGGGGATCCGTTATGTTAAAAATGCACAATAAAATCTTACCAACTAGAATTTTAATGAGGACCAGAAGTATTAACCCTTTTGGAGAATTGAAATATCCAAGAATGCAGTTTGTTATGTTGATTGATCATGAAGTAAATCAGATTCTACCGCAAACCTCTTTTGAAGTGTAGATCAGAAATGCAAACTATGCTTTATCACAGTAAAAGCTTTCAGTCACAGTACATCTCCTGGGGAGTGGCTGAAAATTGCCAGAAAAAATGATATCTCTCATACATTGTACTAGGCACTGATCAAATCTTAAAATACTGTTGAACTACCACTAAATAAGTTTTTTAACATCTATTACCTGCAAAGAATCATTAGCATCCTGGTCAAATTGAACTTGAAGAGCCTCAGTCAGTTTGGTTGTCCAGTTGAACACATCAATAACATTATTTTGGTCATGGTCCACATACTCTATAAGCTCTCTTATTTCTTCTTCAGAATCCTGAAATATTTTTAAGATACTAAACATCAAAATTCATCATCTTGGACCCAATTTACAGCATTTAACTGTGCTAACACATGTTTTTAAAAATATTTCTGTGTGTCTAATTCGAAATATTTCCCTGATAACAAATGTCATGACATAACAACAAGTATGCAGAGTTTGTCTCAAGAACAGAATTAAACCTCACCAAATTTATTTAGAAACTAACTAAGTCTTAAACTTGCTCAAACATTGAAAAATAAAACTGTCACAATTTAAATAAATAAAAAATAATAATTTTAACTAAATCTATTAACCTTTGGCCTGAGCATCTGAAATATGGTGAATATTCTTTCATCGTTCACATCAATCTCACCCTCTCCAAGTGGATCTAGAATGTTCCAAGCCTTCACCAGTTCTTCCCTCTCTCTCTTTCTCTCTCTTTTTACATGTGTTTTAGCTACTGCCCTGAAAATGGATTTAAATTGTCTCATGAATATGTATACCAAGGTTAAATGGTCCTTGTATCATTTTTATTTATACATTTTATCCTAGGCTGTATATAAATGAGTTCCACAAAGAATATAATTAAATGAATGCACATATTACATGTAGTCATCAGTATTATGAGAATCTAGGGGCAGATTCCCATAGATTTTAGATCGATCTATCCCCGTGGGGAGTCTCACTAGACTACTGTCAGATAATCCGGCTTAAATGTCTGTCCCGCCTACTACAAGCTGTAAGGGTGTAATTAACTTTCGTGCCCACTCGGCTGACAGCTATTTAGCGTGAACCCCCAGGGAGTTAGGTCGATCTAGTTGGACCGTTCTAATCTCTGGGAATGGGGTCTAGTTGACCTTTCTAATCAAGACAATGCTTAGAAAAACATGTATGGCAAATAGTTATTATTCCAAACCTACCAGTAACTTTCCACAACAATGGCTAGCAATATTGCTGTCAAGAAGAACACCCCCACATATAAATAGATACCAAAGTAGATAAAATTTGCATGCTGCTTGTCATAGGCTGGCACCATTAAATCCTGTAGACAAAACAAAATTAAAACTGCAACTTATGGCATACTAAATGCTTGCTTGCAAGACACAGCTTGTTTTACCAACTGAAGTTTCAGGATTTATATTTGGTATTAAAAAAAATCTTAAGTATTTAAATAAAACTACATCATTTTTATAACAAAGTATTTTCTTATCAAGAAAGTTTACAGTTCTTACTGGATTTAAAAAAAAAAAATCAGTAAGGAATAGGTTCATGTAAGTTAAAATTGGATGCAGGTCTACCCTGAGAATTTTTCATCTGTGTTTTAAGAATTCAGGTTTGATAACCATATCAAAAAGTTATATAACTACTGTTACTTGCAACATACTGTTTTCTACTTCCACTAATAAATTATCATCACATCATCATTATACTATTATATTTTTTTTTTCATTTGTCTGAAAAATTCAAGACTGATAACCAAAGCAAAATTGTTTTCATGATCCCAACAACTGTTATATAATCCTGATTAACATAATTCATAAATAAGAGAGCACAAACAATAAGCATCACATATTTCAAATATTACTTACGGGGTAATTCTCGGTGGTTAGCAGAACAAAAAGCCTGAGTGCAGCAATACCGATATTATCAAAAGCACTGGAATTGATAAAAATATTAATGAAATGTGGTACATTGATTACTTTATTTGGCCCTACCTTACAATTGTCATAAGGTGAACAGTTGTCCATAAACATAATGTTTGAAAAATATCAACATTTAAGCATAAAAAAACATAGATCAATCCACTGTAAAATTCATAAAGACTCTGATGGTACTAGTGTATTAATCAACAGTGTGTACTAAACTATTTACTCATATGTAAGCTTTTATCATATGCCCTAGCTATACTGACAAAATATCAATCAAACTATATACTGTGTTTGTCATTGACCTTGTTCATAAATCTCATCCTGTTCTGGATGGAGAAACCTTAATTTGTAATTTGTGCATGAGAACAGCTTACCCTGTGTAGACATTAGATGCATCCTCCACACATCTGCTGCCATTAGAATTAGATTCATTTGTTGAAATACTGGAATTTGTTGATAAACAGTGATAGCTTTGGGAGAAAACATGGACACCCACTGCTGAGAATATTCCAATAAAGATGAAGATTATGAAAAACACCTGGAAGAATATGGTACAACAATAAATTAAATTATTCTCATCTACATTTGAAACATATTTAATGGTATAAATTTCATCCCAATCTAACCATAGCTTGAACCCCCAGGGAGTTAGGTCGATCCAGATGGATTGATCTAAATCTGTTGGAACCCAGTCCAAGATCACTCTATACAATAATAATTAGCTAAAAGTTAATTACCAACTGTCTACTGGTGTGATAACACAGCAGTGTCTGTACATAGAAAAGGGATTTGATTTAACCAACATCTATAAAGTGTTATTTTTATTTTATTAAATTATCTAATTTAAAAGTTATTTCATCGTCATTTTCATGTAGTAGCAGTAGACTGTTATATCATTACTGTTTGTATACATTATTAAATAGCATGCAGAACAAAAATACAGAAATATTAAGTTTCTCATTTCTATACCTTCAAGCGAGTCCCACTTTTTCTATGGTTTTACTATCTCTACTGGTTTGACAAATTATTTGAAAGCCAAAAATCTTAAAAGACACGATGTATCTGTACCTTTCCTAACTTATAAATAATGGACAAACACACATCAAATATGTGGGACACATTCTTTGACTTGCACAATATGGCTGCCAGTCTCAAACATCTGAATGGCTGAACCCAATGCTGAAAAAGAAATAACTCGTGACATTGTAGTTATAATTTAAATCAACAAAGTTTTTTCAACTTATCAAAATCAATGTTTTGAACAGAAAATTATATAGTGACGCAATGTTAATGCACTAAAAAGAAATTTTCTCCTTTATACTTGCTTGTATAGAGTAACTTATTTTTACTAATATACAACATGTTTCCATATTTTTTCAACTTTCTTCAAGCATTTCAAATTATTCTATGTTATTATAAAAATAATTTTTTTATATACATCTATTTCAGACAATAACCTCATTGTACCAATGAAACCAGGATATGCCTACATTCACGTTGCATCCTTGCAACCCCACAAAATTTGTTTATAATTACATAATTACCAAAAAATCTTGGTCAAGCCAAAGTTTACCTATTTAATCAAACATATGAGTTATAATTTTGATTACTTAATCAATAATTTCAAGTTTAATCTTATTTATCTATCAGACTGTTCATGGTTTCAAGATTTTCTATCTAGTAATGTTTTAGCAATAATAATCTCAAAATATCTAACAAAATATTTAATAAACATGCAGCTACATGAAGGTTTCACTCTTGTTCCAAGAGCATCTTGTTACAAGAGTGAAACATAACAGTTTCATATGCTATTAGACACACATAAATGTAACTCCATGATATGTTAAAAAACTCACCAGGTGTGGCATGAAATGCTGCAGCACCAAAATGACAAAATCTATCACAAACATCAAAAGAAAGATGAATTCCACCCTGAAATAATATATCAAAAAAAGGTGACAACTTAAGAAAGGGTTTACAGTTTGTCACTTTCTCAATAGTTTTGGATATACAATGCTGAATCAAAGATAATTGTTGAAATGTCCAGGATTTTTTTCAACATTCAGTACTGATGGTACAATCCTCTTTCTACTGGGAGTTGACAGTGCTATAAAATACAATAGGTGAAAAAATGGCCAAAATGTTTCAAAGTTATCAGGTTAAATCCTTAATGTCCTTTTTTCATCATTTTAAATCTTCTAGCATACCCTTCTTTTAATCATACCTGGTCCACTTGGTTTCTTCTATCGACCAGGTCCAAAATGTCTTGAAGGTGAAGTAATGGAGATGAAGTACAATGTCAATGGAGTACATGAAGAGGCAGAGCAACTCCAAGACAAAAACCACCCAGTGTACCCTTTTGGAAGAAAGCAGATTTTATATAAAAATATACAAATTCACAACATGCACCTTTTATTTTATTGCAGACTATAAAATAATTCATCAAATCATAAATAATTAGCATATGCCAATAAGATATCCATGTCCTCAAAATTCCATTTAGAAAAAACAGAGAGCAAAGATGGCAAATATACAGATAGTATTCCACATTTAAGACGAAGCCATAAATCAACAAGGCATGCATGATGATATACATGTAGTATTAATTGAACTTTCTCAGACACATTGGAACCATTATGTTTGCACATTATAACATTGAAAAACAAACTGATTGCTTCATGCACAATTAGACTTTTACTTTTTTTTTCTTAATAGAAAAATTAGAAAATTCAGGCATATATATCACTTTCAAAAAAAGATCTGAGATATTACATAAATCTATGTCTACAGTGCCATTTAAAATATTTCTATAACATGATTTGCACGTGAACACTAAAGATAAAATAAAACAAGCAAAGTATAGTCCTAAGCCAGCAAAATGTCACTAACTGTGCTGGTACCATTACTGTGCAATTTGCATTATATACGTAATACAAAACGACTTACTGCCCCGGTTTAACATGTGCTTGTGTAGGCTCAAAAAACACCAATGCAGTGTGTAAAAGTATGAAAGCATACATGACTCTGTTGAACCATTTGCTGTCTATGATGGCAAAACACCTGAAATATGAACAAACATACTTGATGGCAGTTGTCACCTTCATCAACTTATTTAGTGTGGAGCCCAAAGAGGAAAATCTTCTCCATACGAAACATTTTATTTTTCAGTACATCTTGACTCTCTCTTTATGGGCTAATATGGTATTGTATATGTTTTAAATATACATATAGTCCATTTAATAAAATCATTCCAAAGTGAACAGCTATGCACTTATTAACTCACCGTCGCTGCCATTTTAGTTTAAAAATGGCTCTCGCCTTCCCATAAGCACCTCTGAAATAAAGATAATATTCTAAACATATAACCAAAACTCTGAAAGTGTGCTGCCTGCAAAGCTACTGTTCATACACCCCCTGACCATGTCTTTCAAAAATGTTAATAAAAATGAATTACCATTTTAACTTGCACTGGAATGAAAAATTTGGATCCATAACATTGGTAGAGGCATAAATAAATGAATAGAATTGCACACTGTTGGGAGAATTAATTCAACACTTCAGTTTGTTGAACTGTGTATTTCCTAACTCTATAGCAACTGAATTAAACATGATATAAGGCAATGCAATCATTGAGTAAAACCCCTCTTAGCTTAGCCATGAAACTGAAAAGGCATCCTGCACCCACTGCTGCACAGTTCCTACGTACCATGCACATTTTTAAAAATTATATTTCTGCAAAAGGTGAAAATCCTCAACTGACCATTCTGAATAGTACTCAATCTCTATTACCTTCCCCTCAAGGCATCATCCACATGTGCAGCCACCAAAATGAGATTCTTGTCTTTGCCACTTAACTGTTCAAACTGCTGTGAAATGCTGTCTGTCTGTTCAAATAAAATACCAAGAGCACACCATTAAAAATAGTAAAAAATATATATGCTGCAGTTTTCATGTTTTGTCCTGTTCATGTTAAGTAAAAATGCAAGGAATCCATGTTATGAAAAACTTGGTTTAAAAACACCTCAGAAAATTTTTCAATTGCTTTTTCTGTGTAAAAGACTTTTTGTGTGTACTACTACATTCATCCTTACCCCATTCATGTGTGGATATAAGGGAATAGCAGGAGACAACAAGCCAAGCAAATCAAATTTCTCCTTAGATGAATTCTTGTGAAGATGAATAGAACCAGCCTTCTGGTATTCTGTCTCCTCCGCTGGAGATTCACACATATTTGTTCTATGATTCAGTGGCAGTTTATCATCAGTTTTATTCTCCATGCTATCTTCACTATCATCATGTTTGGTTGTTTCCATGCTTTCTTCTTTCCTATTTTTCTTGTCAGCACAAGCTAATTTAGCATGGTGTTCCAGTGTTTTGCTTACAACTGTTTTACTGGAGCTGTAAAATAAGAGATTCTTAAATAAGTAATAAAGTAAGAATTATAAAATCTTTTCCTGGGAAAGGGGCCAACTTAAATAAGGATTTTTATTACGGTCTGTTATAACTAATAATAATAACAATTATACTAATAGGTTTTTTTAATCTTTTGTTCAGAATTTCAATTATCATCATGACTCCTGATGAATGCTATCTTTTTGGTATCTGTATCTCAAGGTTGCTGATAATACTAATTCTACATGTACACAGTAACAATTTCACAGTACTTACACATTTTGCCTTTCCCACCACAGAATTATCTTGGCTGATTCTCAGTCATAAACGTAATGGTTTCTGTTTTATAGTGGCTGTTGTCAAAGGCACTGTGTTTTCAACAATATCATGGTGGATCTGGCACCTGCTGCATGATTCAAGGTTGATGATAATTAGGCTGACTTAGACATAGAATGTGGTACAGTTCTTTTACCTGAAAGCACAAAGTATATGTCAATATTATTTTATTATTTTATTATAAGGATATTGAATCGTGGGGGGCCTCATGAAGGACAGTAACCTTTGTCCTATATGGCAATTTATTTTAATTGAGTTTTTGGCATTGTGTTGCATTTTGTCACTATATACAGTAACTGTTAATCAATGATGCAATCTGATGTAGATATTATCAATTCATTCATTTATACAAAATAACTTAACTTACGTTTTGCTAGTCCAGAATATATCACATCAAAGATTGTAATTACCATAATTCAAAAGTGATTAACCGATTGCTATAATTGCCATCATTTTTATTTTGAGCATGCAAGTGTGAAACATTCTTTTTAAAACATGTCGCAAATCTAAATGATTTCTGGGAAATTTTTCCCCTGACATATAGTGACTGGAATTTGCTTTTAAAACCATGATTAAATTGAACAAAGTGATGATTATAAATTCAAAAGTGAGCCTAGCTTACTAAAAAGTCAGTATGTGGGAATTAAAACCTCACCTTAGGTATTTTGCTCCACATCAAAACTATGCAAACATGTATGAGACTTGCAATATTTATAACCTACTTGACATTTAAACTAAGTAAAATGCCAGAACTTGGAAGCAAACATAATGAAATATATTGCTTGGTCATTTTTAAGGAGGCTATACCATGCAGTGGCTTCAGATTGTCACTACTTACAGTATTAAAATAAAATGCTCAGGTTTTCATTTAAAAGCCAGACAAGATACTGAAAAACTCTTTCTAAGTGCTGTGCTGCAGCTAGGCAGCCCAAGACATATGCTCCCTAAGCCACTTTTCTTACTGGCTGAGAATGCTTTTAAGTAACAAGTACATGTAGTTCAGAAAGTTAGCTACCCAATGTTCATTAATGTCTTTCAGGAAAAATCATTACGTCGATCTTCCCAAAACTTATAAAAATTAATGTCTACATCTGTTGCTACTACACATAGTGTTTATCATCGCCATTGTCCGAAATCCATTATAAAATGATGAAAACATCTTAAAGTCCATCAAAACCTTCAGCAGCTTCGACCTGTATCTTTAATGTGTATAAGCCACATGCATGTAACTTACTAGAGCAGCTAAATACTCAACAATTTTTTACATACCTTTTTTTTCATTTTGAATGGGGGACTCTAAAATATTTTTAAAAAAAGCCTCTAACAAGCACTACCTCTTAATTCACACGTCACTTGGATACAGAATCATGTCCTGCAATATCTGGAATGTGCCTATAGTCAATGAAAGATTACCATATCACTAACTAGTACATGGCTTCAGTGGATTTCAGTACTATAATGTGTCTCCATCTGACCTTTATGTGTATTCAGGTTTATCTCCTCTATTTCAGTATTGACATAAGAAGTTTGTATTGGTGACGCCATTTTATTTCCCTTACGGCATACAACACAGTACAATAGTCCATAAGTCATCAGTCAATAACAGAGACCTTTTCAGGTGTTTATGTACTGAAAGCACAAAGCAACACCAAATAAGAAGTTTATATTTCTCAACTGTTATTCATAAAAGTTATATATTTGAGATACAAACTTTCTTGTAGATATATATAATTAAGAATGAAGACCTTAAGAATACACATTACAGTAAATGATTTGTAGAAAGTCACCACCAAAATTTATTAGGACACAAAAATGCTCCCTGCAGCTACTATAGTACCCTATTGTAACAGCATGTCTCTGAATAAAATATTTACATGATCGGTAACACTCAGTGGCACTTAATTGTCATTTTGTACAGCTAGTTACTTGAGCAGTTATGATCAAGGTTTACGACCTTTTTTTTTGACTGAAATAATTTTAACTTGGCTTCTACTCACTATATAGTAGTGTTTTTCCATTGTCTCCTAGCTTATTTAAAGCGTTAAATAGCAAAAACACACATCCTAAGACCTAATATATATCCTGACATCTAATGGCTTTTAATTATGATTATCCACGAAGTTTCACAGCCAGTTTTCCTTACCAGCTGCAGATAATTTCTGGTAACCAGTTCCATGTCTCCCTTAATGCATGTCCCATCCTGTGCGAAGAAACTATTTCACATCACATAATTTTCAAGCTCTAGCTTGCTACAACAGCGAAGGGGTTTTGACTCACTTTAGTAATTAGATTGTGTTACTTTGCATGTTATATAGACATGTGCAGCTCAAGCCTCACTAAATTCAAGGGGGCTTCAATTTTACTAAGACTGCCTAGACTCAGGATATTGATCAGGATATTGATCTACATACTAGTATGTGTTTATATGTCCTGTCAAAGACATGACCTGATGATTCGATCAATGATTCAAACCCTCAATCGAACATGCATGTACAACACTGTACCCTACATGGGATTAAAAATGAATTTTCCTCAGGAAAAAATTATCTTACTTAAGAATTATTCATCACATCATTCCATTTTTAATTTGATAATTTAATTCTATAAAACTATAACCATTCATTAATTTGAACCCCATCTACATTTCAGAAGGAATTATTGACATCAGACACTTTTATTTACGGGGTTTCATTGCTTTAAGATCTGAATTGAGAAAGATAGTTCCCTTTTGCATGATATCCAGACAAGGAAAAATGACTCAGGGATTTTTTTCCAAGCTCGTAGAAATTATATACCTTTAAACGTCTCGCTGAGAATTACCAAAACACACCTATTAGATCTATATATAATACCGATACATTGGAAACGTCAGTGAAGACGTTAAAGCCGTTTCCAAAATTTATTCTTCTCCTTCTTCTATTCTGAAAATTAACTCTAAGACTGAACTCCTGGCTGTCGGAAATCAGCCTTTTCAAAGCGGAAGACCTAGCCGGAGCCCCAAATCTTGGTAAGAATTTTGTAATTTTGTCCATTGCCCAAATGCCCCACACTTACCACAAGAGAACAAAACTGAGAAGGTTTACAGTACAGTACGTTTAGTAAGTGTAAAAACTTCTAGGACACTGTTTCAGTTTCCTTTCAACGTTCACCATTACTTACCTTTTCTGAAGACTATTTCCGTTGCGGATACACTCACTTGTATCTACCCGTGTACAAGAATGTTTACAACCTGTCGAACTGTTGACCCCCAGGTGTTGTGGTTGCACGCAGTGAGCCGGTGTCGCGGTCTCAGATGTCGCGGTCTCAGACTGTCTTCGTGCTCAGCAGGTCGACTCTGTAGACACAACATTGGGGGAGGGGGTGTACGGGTGTGTGTGTGTGGGGGGGGGGGGGGGAAAGGAAGAACCATTGGGAAAACTTCAGGCAAAGGTATTTGGGATATGTTTTATTTGATAAGTTGGTACAGAGGTACTCCTAAAACTTTTATTGGAAAGTAGTGCTAATTTAAAGCAATTATAGAGAAAATGTTCCTTTAAGCAAGAGGTTTCTACTTTTGGGAACGCAAGTCATTATCTGAAAATTAGCACCTGNATCATGCTGGTAGTTTTTAGAATTCATATGTGCTATAATAATTTTATAATACTCCCCATCCGTCAAGCCTTACGAGAATTCCCATAAGAATTCCTAGAAGATCTCCCATAAGATTCTTAATGATTTCCCATGTTTATAATCTTTATTGCAGTTTAATAACGTTTACGAATGTTATGAGACAACTATTGGCCTCATATGCTAGCACAGTATACATAACTGAGAGAATGTCGTTCAAAAAATATCTTGCAAGTTAATTTTTTTTACGTATGGATTAAAATAGTTACATGCAGAGTTTGCTCAAAAAGATCTTTATTTTGTCTATATTAAGACTACATTGTACCCTCCCTCCCATTTTGCAAAGAGTTCATGATAATTTGAAAAAAGTTTAAATTTATAGATAATTTAAATCTAGACAACGCAAACAAAACGTTATTTGGATGAGAAGTACCCTCTACCAGGGCGAGTGATAGATTTTTTACAGATATTAAATCTATCACTCACCCTGGTAGAGGGTAGATGAGAAGTAGCTTATATTAATTTATTTTGTTTCACTTTCATGTTTTATCTGACAGAAAATTCAACTTTTCATTTGAAAAAAAAAAATCTAATTTATTCTAAATAAGGGGACGATGTACTCATTAGGCAATAGACTTACCTGTGTATCAGATGAAAGATAATTTTTCAAGTAATATTGATGAGGGGGAGTAACGATGCAGGGAAATAACTATGCAGGGGATTACTGGCGTGGAGGCGTATCGAACCAGATAAAATTAAAATTTACTAGCTAGAGGGGGAGTAAAGGTGTAGGGACATAGAGAAATGTAACCTTAGCAGTGTGGAGGCCATATAGTGCTTGAAAGGAAACTTCCATATGAACATGAACTTAATAATGTTTTCTCCATGTCCCGCAGTGCATTCATTGATGTGTGATCTGTCAAGGCAATCCAAAGGAGGGTTTATAAGTATATGCTCCATCAAGGCATGGGCTTTCCACTGGTGCACTGGATACTCAGAGGGTCCATGGGAGAGGCTTATGCCAGCACACAATGTTCAGTAAATTGCTATGATGATTATGTCAAATTTCTCCACTAGGTGCAAGAAATCAACTGAAGAATGTTCTGAGTATCGAAGTGCTCTACTTTCAGTTAGAGCTTGTTCACATATTAGGCAGAAAAGCCACAATGGTGCAATGATTAACACTCCTCTATTTGGACCATCTTGGTCCCAGTGAGCTGAGAGACAGGTAACTTGAGAGATTCAGACATAATAGTTGGGGAATTTATCAAAGCAAATAAGGAGAATAAAAAGCAAAATTATAGCCACTCAAATGATTTGTGAACATATTCTTTCAGATACTGAGACAGATTCACATGTTAATATTATTTTAAAGGAATAGAGTCTGATTTTTATATTGTCAACACTGCTTGTCAGGTGGAATGCTTGGATGCATGTTATCAGATTACTTATCTTATTATGATGCACAACCTAATCATTACTCGTAAATCGAAAGGGTTACAGCACTCATTGTAAAACAGGGCTAGAGTTTGTGTGTTTTTTTTTCAAACCTCCCCCATAGTGCAGTGAATGTTTGTCTCTTGGAATCTGACCCATAAACCTTGGTTACTACAATTTTATTTTGACTCAATTGACAGTGTCAAGCAAATGACACGCAGTAACCTAGAGCATACACCTGTACTACTGGCCTATTGCATGAAAATCTCGTTTACAGTGCAACTACCCTGGGTTTCAGAGGACGTTGGAAACCCTTGCTTTCTGTTTTGCTGTTAGCAGAGAGGGATGGGGGTGGAGGGTGGGGGGTTCCAGCGTCCTCTGCAAACCAGGGTGCATTGAAACTGAAAAGGATAAAAAAGAGGAATAGTTTCTCTGTACACCAATATTATTCATATCCATGAAATAAAATAATGGAACTCAAAGAAAAATATTTTCTGAAAATCGAATGGACTTTCAAAGCATGCATAAAAATATCAAACCTGCATCATTAAGGAATGAGGTAAACTAACAAGCCTTTTAAGACTAAGAGTTTTTCAGGAAAGTACTAAATTTGTCAACAATTCTGACAAAAAGCACAAGTTGTCACCATATCTAAAGGAACAAATGTTAATCTTTTGCTGGAGGTGATATGTAGAACTGCGAATACCTCATCATCAAAGACTGACAAGTTGGAATAAAAGGAGTTACACTGTACGTCAGAACTGGTATAGTGAACAATAACTTTTTTTTCGTCTACCTGAAGCTATTTTGGTTGTTGTTAATAATCTAAAGGTGTAAATTTAATTTGTTCTGGATTATCATAAAAAAACAAAATGCACTAAAGAACTAGTAAGTACGCAAACTGCATTTAACTTCACATCAAGAAAAGTTCACATCTCAGTTTTGAAATTCAGCTCCTTTTAAATCTAGGTGCGAGATGTCTTCACCACTTGTACTTGAAGTTCATCTTCAGTAGGTACTTAATGTTGACCTGAGCCACATCATATACGATGAATCTGATTGTAAATGAAGGAAAACTTAAAGAGAATGGTGCTAAAGTCACTACAATGTGAATATCACACAGGAGATTTAGGAGATTTAAAATAATACAAGGCTAAATTGAGAATTTTAAGCAAGCATTTTGAAACATTTTTTCATTCTGCATATATCATAATAATCTAGTTATTGGCAGTATGAAATTATGATTTTGTTAAATGTAGAATAAATGAATACATAAATAAATGTCCATGAAACATTAATTTTCATCAAATGATTTTTATACTGAAAATTATATTTCATACATGTGCCCTTGATGTAAAAAGGATACTCATTATAGAGTAGGCTGGTTTGGCCAACAGGTGCCGATATACCCTTCCCCTTGGGGATAATAACGTCCTCCGGTGTCTTATAGTCATCTTTAGGATCAGGCATTGTCATACCAAGGCCTGGGATAAAAGATTACATGGTAACTTTATAAATAACCTATTTTGAATTTTATAATGGTAATTACTTTGTGGTATATTCTGTGTCAGCATAAATAGCAAAACTAAAATTTAAAACAATTTCAAATTTTTCAAAAGAATTAAAGATTCAACCTTTGCTTTAAGTGTAAGTTCCCTTCCAAAAAACAAATTATAAGTGAGAACATTTCACAGCATTTATATTCCCAAAGCTAGTAAGAGTTAAATCTTAGACTACAAACTGAGAACTCCACTTAATAAGTGGCATATCATTGTTCCCTTACCCTTTGTGCTATGTTTGCCTTTTGGTAGTTTGGTTATGTATTCTGCTCCTCTGCACTCATGCCTGTTAAAAGATAATAGCTCAAACAGTAACATCATTTTAATAACTGCAACACAGAAGGCAAGAAGCATTTGTTATAGAAAACAGCTTCTGTGACCCTAAGCTTCAGATCCAATGTAGGTCAACTTCTTCATTTTCAATTTTCCCAGTGTGTACAGTTTTCAGGTAATCAGGTCAGAAACTAAGGCTATCTTAATACACTCCACAATAACACCATCTGCTTTATAAAAGACAAAGCAAATAGTTATACATTTATATAAATGTACCGGTACATGTAGGTATAGGGGACATTCAACAGTCCCCTTCTCTGCAACACAACTGCAATTTGGCTGGCGTAAAGAAACAGTACCAAACAACAGTATCAAATATTTTGTAAACTTTATTGATAAATTATATTGATTGCCACCAACCAGTGGACATTCAGTGGGTTGACTTACATATTCCCTAGAGCGACCTCACACAGTAGCAGGATGCCATGGGGCTCAGATTTGCTTGTTCTACAGTAATTGGCACTCTTTGAGACCATGTCAGCGAAGTAGATACCCTTCCCAAACATGTAGCCAGTCTGAAACATAACAAGAAGAAGCTTTTGTACAACTCAGAAGACAAACTGGACTGCAATGTGATGATTCATGATGGAAGCTTAGAACTATCTTTCTTTCTTTGATTCTGCATCAATAAAATTTCCACAAAACAAAATTTGCAATACAGCCTGAAACAATATATTTTTTATCAGTAGAAAAAAATTTTAAAACACCAAACAGGGCCACATAAAATGCACTCAAAATTTTAAGGAAACTAAATTTACAACAATTTTTCTTTTTTCCTTACAACAAATTTTCAGATTTAAGTTTCCTTACAATTCCTGAAACACAAAAGGAAAATTTGTTACGTCATGGTTTACTGCAAGCTAAAACTAATAAATAGTAAATAAACATTTTATCATAATTAGCAGCCTCACAATAAATACATGTAGCACTAATAAAAATTAACTCACCACTGGTGCCTCTGGAGGGGCAATTCTCAAGCCTTGAGACAAAATACCAGCAAAATTGGTGACACGGGAGCCATGCCATAGCAACATTTTGTTGTGCAGGTCACGGAATGGTTTGTATCGGGCATACTCTCCCTCACGGGCAACCTTGAAAACCTAATTGAAAAAGAATAAAAAAGTTAGACCTCAACTTAACAATTTTTCAGTCAATAATTACAAATAGATGGCACATACACAAACACCTTGGAGGTAGTGGAAGTAGTTTTTATATGAAGGTGCAGCTATGTTTTGTGCTCGACTGGTGTTACATTAACCAAACAGGCAATCTTAAATTCACGCCTGAAGACCTATAATGTTAGGAAAAGATGATATTTTGAATGAATATGGTGAAACTGATGTTTTACACTAAAAAATTCATCTGAATCCATGCCTATGGAGTGTTTTGTGCAAATTGATTTTTTTTCCAAAAAAAATCTCATTACATACTAATACAATCTTATCTGAACTGTGTGCTTAAAAAGTCTTAATTCATGTTGTACATTAATCATAAACCTTGATTTACAATTGTATACTATCTGGTAAGTTACTGAATATACCTCCATAACTTCCAAGTCATACATGTTGTGTGTTGCAGCATGGGTATTTTTGGTGTAATCCTGCAAAAGCTTGAACTCATCGCTTTCCTTCTCAACCACCTGGGGAAAAGATTCTTGAAATTTAGATCACTAAAGCACTGTTTTCAACCAAAGATTTTTTAATTTATATCTAGAACTGACTCTAGCATGCTTAATGAAGAAAATATTAATGTTTTTTTAACGGAATAGACACCTCTCAATTATCCCTCATGTGTACAAATAAATGCAAAATTTCTTAAAGCTGTAGCATAATTATGTGACACAAAAAATATACAGAAGTAAGAAATGACCTCCATTTTGCATTTGAGTTGTTCATAGTGTGCATCCACAGGGTCCTTGTCCTCGCTTGCTCCACTTTTCAGCAGGTTGTAAGCAACCTCAATCTCCAGCAAGTTATCCAACATTTCTATTTTTTTCTAGAGTCAGATTAAAAAAGGGTGAAAAAAATTGTATTTGATGTTAGGAAAAAGAAATTAGCTTTACAGCTATGCTTATCCAGGGTCTCATCCCATTAGAAGCTTACAAGCAATTCACAGTATACAAGGCTTTAACTTTAGAATAAAATCAAATAAATCTGAAAGTATTAAAAATCAGACAGCATCCCCTACAATCAAAGATTCCTCTCAATTATCACAGACAGGGATGTGATTGGGCCAACATATGATCCCCTTCAATTAGAGAATCCCCACATACTTAAGCCCCAGAATTTATATTAAGTAAAACTGAATCGGTTTATTATTTAATGAAGTGGACATAACTTATTATGTGTATTACTAAAAGAAAAAAAAAAAGAATTAAAATTACCTTGATAACTTCAGATGTGTCCAGAAGTGGTGGCTTTCGCATGCCAAAGTCATGTGGAATAAGTGTGTAAAACCGGTTTGATGCATCCAAAAATTGACCTGGAGTGCCATTATTTTCTGCCAACTGAAATTAAGTTGACATTATGACATGTCAATCAGCACAGTGTCTTTATTTTCCAAAGACTGAAAAAATTTTCTTATTTGTTAGCATTAATCCATTTTAGTTAATAATTAGCACAGTGAAAAATTACAACAATTAAATCAAAAGAGCAGAAAATTGTGCCAATACAAAAAAAAAAACTAATATTGCATATTACTTTTTGCCACACTGAAAATTCTCTTTTATTACCTGCTGAAGTTCAGTCAACACCTTGTAAGCTTGCTCAATTTGCTTTTTTGACAATTTCCCTAGAGGCATCTTTTTCAGATCAATCTGAAGAAGAACACAGCATATCAAAATTCACCATATAATACAACAGTCATGTTTATCAAATTCCATTATTTTACTTGACTCAACAAGTGCTGCCTTAAGGATCTTATGACCAAATTACACAAAAAAAACTTCTCACCTCAAACTCTAACATGGCTTTTTTCATGCTTTCAACATTAAAAATCATCTTGATCAAATCTTGGACTTCTTTGGGAAGTTTTGAACTTGTTCCTGCCCTTTTCTCAAATTCTTTAATTTCTTCTTCTTCCTGGAAAACCAGATTTATGGATGTAACATAAATGAATTTTAAACAAAACCATGAAGTTTACAGTCAGAACTTTATAACATTTACTAACCAACTCTCTCTTGAATAAATCAAAATTCCGATGTTGAATGCTTGTTGACTTGTAAAAAATCACTAATTACAATGACAAATACCATAATAAGATATAATGGAGTTTCAAAATTTGAGAATCGAAAGGAAAGAAAATTAAATAAAAGTAAATTAAANACGTATCTTATTACTTAAATAATAAGGAAATGTGAAAAAACAGCATAACTTCTAAAATAATGCCTCGATTATGCTGATTTTCGAACTCAACCTGCGTTTTAGTAAGACTGACCATTCCTGTGAGTTTAATGACAATTGGGGTTTCTGTTTTTCTTATATTGTGTTTACAGTGTTGCATATATGCTGAACAATGACAAAACCGCATAACTACTAAAATAGTGGCCAGATCAAGCTGATTTTCGAACTTGACCTGCGTTTTAGTAAGATTGATTACTCCTGTGAGTTTCGTGACAACAAGCCTAACGGTTTTCCTTGAAATGTGTTTACAAGGTTGCATATATGCTGAAAAGTGAAAAAACAGCATAACTTCTACAATAATGGCATAACTTCTACGATCATGCTGATTTTCGAACTTGAGCTGCGTTTTATGAATATTCATCAGCTCTGTAAATATAAAGCCAAAAAGTGAAACTGCCTTCCACTTATCGTGTTTACAAGGAAAGTGCACGGCGACGGCATCGGCATCGCCATCGGCATCGGCGACGGCGACGACAGACGCAGGTGATGGCAATATGTACAGACACGTCTGTGTCTGTACATAAAAAGGGCAAAGACAAATGATCACTGGAGGAGTTACACTATATCTTTCAATACACAGAACATATTTATTTAAAAAGTTATTGCAAGACTTCTTGATGGTACATAAAAGATCTGATGAAATTAATTACCAGTATCGGGATCTACTGCTGCTCCTCCTTTCACCATCATTTTCATCTTGTCTGGGACTTTCTTTGTGTACACAGAATCTGCAAGTGAATTTTTGTAAAGAATTTAATCCCTTTTTCAAACAAGTCAAAAATGTAAAAATGCTATCAATAATCAGTGGAATTGTCTAGCTGATACAGGAAAATTCAGTATAAGAGGTGTGCATGTGTGTGGGTGGATGTAAAAGCACAATTAAGTGTATGGGTGTATGTGAGTAACACAGATGCTTACCCTTTGTTTTATATTTTTCATAAGCACTCTTGCCTCCACTCTTCACTGGACCATCAACAACATCCCCAAGTCTTGCTGCTGGCTGAAATACACAACCAACATGTTTATGACCATATTTTGTCTAAATAAATAAATAAATAAATAAATAAGTAAATGAAACTGGAATTGTGTTGGAAACAGACAAAATTTAAGAGGTCAAAGGTCGCTCTTTTATCCACCATTATACAGTACACAGTTGGACAATAATCACAGAAACTATATGACAATATAAATATCTTTCTTATATTAAAACTACTCACATCTGATCCCCAATCACAAATTGACTTTTCCTTGATCATCAGCACTGCTCCCCCTTTCTTAGCAGCCTCCAGGAAATCCTCAGAAACAACATGCACATCTGCAGATTTAGCTTCTTGAATTTTCTTGGAGTTTTTCTGCACTTCAGCTTGAAAAGGGAAAGAGAAAGTCCTGTTAGTGTTATGAGTCAGACTTACGACTTATTTTAAAAAAGATTTATCCATATATTCAAATAGGGAATTTAATTTTTATAAGTAGCAAAGAATAAAGTTTTAAGTAAAATTAAAAGCATATAAAGTTTAAGTAAAATTAGAAGCATAATGAAAAAAAATCAGCATTTTAAAATTTTAGTTAAAGTGTTATGTACTTTAAAATTCAATATATAGAAAAAACAGTGCATTTCAAGAATTTCTATCATTACACCAATGTTGTATAGACCTACTTAAAACAGAACTGGCTTTAAACCTCCATAGTATGAAATAATCCATAATAAAAACATAATTTCCAGGAATTTCACAGAAAATTTCTAAAAGTGAAAATCTTATTTTTCCTGTAAAAGATACCTTCACTACTGATGCAGGCAGCCACAGTTTTGTCTAACTTTGAGACTATCATCCCTCCCATGGCATTCACAGCTTTAGTTATGGCATCTTTAGACATCTTTGTGCGACCAATGATGACAAATTTCATGTTGTGGAGTGGCTTATCAGTCCTAAAAATCAATCAGATTAATATAAATTCATTAATAATAACAATGTTTATTTTTCAATATGTTTTGTTTACAATTGATGATTCAAATTGGGTAATTTTTTGGGTAAACAACTGCAAGTTCAAGTTGCTGGCTGTGCTAATTACCACCAGTCTTTCGCTTTTTGTGAAATTTGAGTGAGTTTCTAACTTCAGACAACCATGTTGTATTCCCTATTTGAAAATTCTCAAATGTTCACATTGACATAGAGTAATAATGACTGTATTATATTATGAAGCATTTTCATACTTACTCCATTCATTTTTCTTAATGAATTTATACTTAATGGTGTATTACAGAGATCAAGTTGGTATACTGGCAAATAATCAGAATTTTTGAAGAACACTTAAAAAGGTAAACTGGACAATTCAACCTTCAAACTGTCTTTAGAAGCTAAGATCTAAGGCTATCAACTTGAATAGCAGATTTATCTCCTGACTCAACAAAACCAAGTACTAGATATTTTACCAGGTCTAGTCTCTTACCCAAGAGCAACCCCTGATGAGCTGATAGGACCCTCTGTGGTGACCACGCTGACCTTTGGCCAGACTCTCTCTTTCTTCACATACTTGTACTTCTTACTGGAACAAGATTAACAGCATTTCAAATGTCAGTTAAAGTCTTCCATGCTTTAAAGATCCCCAGCATTGTGCTTCAAAAAATGTCCATAAAAAGAGGAATGAAATTTAGATAATTTATCACTAATTACAACTCACTTTGTATATTTCAGCTTCAGGAATAAATGGGTAGTGTTGGATAATCCACTGCCCATGTTAAAATGTCTTACAGTTCTATATGCATGAAAATTTGACAGACTGCAACTTAAGAGATGTTTTAGTATTTTAGGATGTATATAATGTTCTGTTTACAACCCTCTGGGTGGTTAATGTGGACTGGAAGGAGATTCATAACTTTAAAAATACCAAACACAAGGCAACTCACAGGAATTCTACATCATGGTACTCTGTTGGAATTTTGAAGGCTTTCCTGGCAGGGTTTTTGGTGACATACATACACTTGGTCCAAGCACTCAGGTTTCCTGTGCACTTGTAGCCATCACTGCTGTAAACCAACTGTCCTTCTTTACATTCTGGACAGTTCTTCAGAGCTCCAAATGCCATACAATCTGCTACATTGTCCAGAAGCTAAAAAATAGACAAAAATAAGAACAAATTTTAATTTTATTTAAGAATGAAAAATATTAAAAAAAAAAAACAAATCAATAATTGAACTATGCCTTGTTCATGTTTTTGTTTAGTTTTGTCTATTTAATGTAGATATATATTTGCAACATCAAAAGGCACAAACAAACTTCATCAAAATTAAGTGACATATGCCAATATCAAATATTTAGAAAGAATACACATAAATATAACACAGTGAGGGAGGTAAAGAAATACTGGGTGAAGCAATTAATGTTATTCTCACACTTACCTTGCTCTCTCCAGAGGGAATCTGTTGATCATTATAATCTAAGAGTCCCTTTAAAGCCACATTGGAAACTGCCTTCTGTAAATTATCTCTTATCTTCCAGATCATTTCACTTTGTTCCTTGGAAAAAAATGTAAAACTTCAATATCTTTAAATAGTGAATAATCTACCCTCCATTGTTATCATAAAAAGAATATTTTCACAGAGTAAAAGCTGAGAGCAAGGGACTATATGGTAATATTTCCCCAAATCATCATTTCAGTGAGATTTATTTCGTGGATTATTTGGCTATCACAAAAAATGGCTTAGGTAGAATTTTGATAATAGACATACCTTCAATGCCTTTTCTTCTTCTGTTTCCTCTTTCTTTGCCTTTTTGTTTGGTACTTCCTTCTTCTTATCACCCTTCCGTTTCTTCCTATACATAAACAAACAATATAATCACAGATATCTTAATTACATGTAATTATACAAATTACAAGGAGCATATTTTATACATCTTATATCTGCAAAAGATGCCATTTTGCTTGGTGAAACACCACTGTCTCAATCCCTTAGTTTGGTCTTGATCATTTCACTCAATTTTCTATATAATAATGCCTTCTTTTTGACCTTCTCAGTGAGGGACAGTAAGTTAATGTCCAATTATATGTAATACTATTTTATGTATATACTTGATCTGGTTGAATAAGCATCATTATGACAATTCATCATCCTCATCATCATTATCATCACCATTGTTATAATTATTATTCAACCACAGGCAGAGTTATGTTGCTAATAATCAAAGAATAAACTTATAACCCACCCACTGCTCCCTGCTCCAAGTTTCTCTTTCACCATCTCCTTATCTTCTTTCTTCAAGCTTTTGTATCCAGGGATTCTAAAGAAATCCACCATAATTATTCAAATGAGACAAAAAAGCAATGCCATCCCTAGCAGCATATCACCATGCTTAGTGTGATGTCTCTTTCAGACTGCTTTAACAATATATACTAAAACACACATTGATAATTAGCCTTTAACAGAATGAAATGTGTAGTTATATCAACAAAATGAAGATGATGACACCTGTCAAAGAATCCAACACAGTGACTTTGCCAAGAAATTACCATCAAAAACAGACAAAAAGTTTTTTGTAAATCTTTGGGATCTTTCATATTTTAAGAAAATTTACCCCTACTTTTCAAAAAGGAGTAACTAATAACACCAATGTAAAAAAGCCCAATTTTTTCTAAATAGGATCCTAAGTTAGGCAGAACTCGACAATCTTTAGCAAAATTAACTTTGGCAAAATGCTAAACATATTCTAATTTTGTTAAGGCAAATATAAACTAAGACAATTACCCAAAATATGAGCTTAACTAAACAACACAAAGTTTGCAATGGAATTTGGAAACCAAGCTAGTGGAAACTTAGGCTCTATTCCCAAAACTTTAGATCGATCTATCACCGCGGGGACTCTCACTAGATTACTGTCAGATAATCCCCCTTAAGTGTCCGTCCCCGCCTACTACAAGCTGTAAGGGTTAATTAACTTTCGTGTCCGCCCGGCTGACAGCTATTTAGCGTGAACCCCCAGGGAGTTAGGTCGATCTAAAATAGGTCGATCTAATCTATGGAAATGGGGTGTTAGATGCCTACTTGTCTGGGTTCATGTCAGATGAAAACTGCAGCTCATCTCTGTTCTCAACAAAACAGTCCACATGATGCCATCTGTCCTGAGGCCCATACATCTTAGCACGTTCACTCTCATACTCCTTCATGGAGATCCTCACTGCATCCTGTTATTCAAAAAAAGGAAATAATAATAATAGAATGAATCATTAAATGCTGTTAAAAGTAAGAGCTACTTCAAGAAATTATTACAGAAAATACATGCGTCACCTGATAAACAGACCCTATAAAAATCCTAAATGAATCTGCAGGACTGGTATTTTTTTAAAAGAAAATGGAAAAGTAAAATTCTTAAAATATTTACGGTAAAATCCGAAAGGATAAACACCAAATCACAAGAAGTTTAGCATAGGGGTAAAAGTACTCTGCTTAAGTGATCCAAGATGCTGTCACACACTGTACAGACCTTCTCAATCTTTTCCTCACATCCGCGACACTTGCTCCTGTTTGACTTGGCATACTCCACACAAAAATCTTTATATGCAGCATCGTCCCCTGCAGTGCTGCCGCCTTTTGGGGCTGCATCACCACCACCACCACCTGCATGCAAACATTTAGTAATAATAATAATAATAATAATAATAATAATAATAATAAAGTTATAATAATAAAAATTCAAGTGTGAAAAGTGCTTATAAGTAACAGTTGGACGAACATAAATATTGAAGTTGATTAGGAAAGTGGATAAATATTGCACTCATAAAAGGTCATATTGTCATCAGTTTGAGGTTGTGTCTTGGTTGTGCTTATAGTTCAATAAAAAAATCATTCTGAAATTTTAGTCTCAAAGGAAAATAAAAAACAGTAAAAGGCAGATTTAAGCACGGTTTAATCTGAATGCCCTTCTGTTATCAAATAAAGACAAATCAGTCTCAGTCTATTTTAATCTGGATCTTTACATAAGAACACATCCACACCAGCCACACACAATAATCTATCTAAATCTCTATACATTTCTATATTATGGCAATCACGTGGTTACCTTCTATGTGGTCTTTGATCTTCTTCTGATCATCCCATCTCAGTGCATCAAAACCATGTATATCATGGGCAGCAAGAACTTTGGCTTTTGTCCAAAAACACTTGTAGTGAAACCAGTTTGGAATCTAGAAATATGTGTAGGATACTTGAATGCTTTGTGATTTAATCATATTATATAAATATAAATCAAATGACAACTCCACCATGTAATTGTACAAAAAAAAGTCATTTTTCATTTTCTTTATCAACAGTAAATTTAAAACCTTTACTAGTATGCATCTGATAACATGTTTAATTTTATGTTATGTTATGTTATTTCTTTATTTATTACAACATCATTTGGAAAAGCCTTTCTTATGAGGTATATGGATGTGTATTTGCAACTTTTAGAAGTATTCAGCTGTGAAGATTTCACAAAAAATATTAATGCTAAAATTACTTAGAGTGCATTTCTAAGGTGTCATAAAAAAGATTAAGTTGTTTCTAATATTAAAAGAGGTCTTTTATTAACAATATTTACCTTTCCATCAAAATGTGGAGACTGAAATAAAAAAAAAACAATTTGTAAAATTATATGCCTTGTACCCCATAAGTTACAGAGTAAATCATTTTACCCCATTACTTTACCTGTACAATGTACTAGCAATTACAAAAAAAAGCAAATTTTATTTACTTATTTTTTTAATATTTAAAATATTTCACAATGTATCAATTATTTAAGACAAAGTAGTGAAATAAGATTTCTCCTTGGGCTCCATAAAGAAATCATTTTTAATATATAAATTCATCTATATTTTGTCGCATACTCTGAAAGTGCTCTCAAATACTGTTGACTGCTAAATCGTACATCTTCATGAAAATTACAATAGCTATTTAAATAAGTCAAATGCAAACACCAATTAAATAACAACAAAAACGTTAGCGTTTTTTGTAAATTATCAACATTAAATAAATCTTAACTTTCAACGTGTTTCAATATATATAAAATAATTAAAATAATTTTAAAATGCATCATCTCTCTCTCTCTCTCTCCCCTCCTCCCCCTTGCTCATTTCGCCGGTTTCGTTCCCTGATCCCCTGTATCTACTGACCCAAGTGCCCAACCTGAAACCAGCCAAGCTATCTGAACCAAATGTGGAAACAATATTTATGACGTGACCAGGCGATCAAAATGCAATGGGACACTCTAAGCGCCTCAGATTTTGAAAGCCCAGCAAGTGACATCAGTAACCTATTTCCGGTCTGGTTTCGAATGTGACAGTGTAAACATGCCTGAACACAATGCTAGCGAAGTGGTTTTTACCATGAACAACTTTTCTATTTAATCTTACCTGAACCATTACTGCCAATCGCAGAGTGTCTTTGGAAATGAGTTCTTTGCATTTTTTGCATGATGCACGATTACTTTTTGCATATTCGGCTTTAAATGGGAGGTCGTGGTGGTCTGCCATGCTTCCCGGCCTGGTAATGCCTCAACGTAAACGACGTCAAATAGAGTAAACAATCAATGGCTGCCTCGCTTTCGATAATGCTTTCGATTTGAACACGAGACCACCACATTGACTTTATGGTTTATGCCTCATGTTGCCGCCACGATGGTTGAACTTTGAAGGTTGGAAGCATGGCTGACTTTACTGCGGATCCTGGCGGGAGAGTGAAGGTATTTTGAAATATAAACATTTCATGAACACCTATTACATTCTGTGGACATTACAGGAAAATTTTAATTACATTCTGATTTATAGAGGGTGTTATAAATTTATTTAATTTGGTCATTAACTGGCGAAAATATTAAAACCACTGAAACAATGTATATATATATATTAGTGTAGACTACTCAGTAAGTATTTTGTATTGAAAAGGGGATTACCACTGTGAAGCCAATAGTTTACGGCAATGTGGCGAGATATTTTGGAAAGAAACGTGACGAGGATGGACACACTCATCAGTGGACTGTGTATGTGAAGCCTTACAGGAACGAGGTAAGACATTTCCTCTGGGTCTGTTTGATGCAGGAAGAACTATGGGAAACTTGCACAGGGGCCTTCTCCGGAATAGAACTGTAGACCAAAAGATAAACTATCAATCCAAATTTTAGTTTATTTCTTTAGTTGTCTGCAGTGCCTACAGACTTTGAGCTGCATGTTTAATATTTGCATTTTTTCAAGAAATTTTTTAGCCAGCAAATTGTTATCAATGATTTTAATGATAACATTCAATTTGTAATGATGATATTTGTTTATTAATAATGTCTTAAAAGATATTCTGTTGTCTTTTAGTTTTGTATTTTCTTTAGAGACAATATGTTAGCCAAAAATTATTTTACTATTACATTTATTATAAATCAGTTGTACACTATTTGCTCTGTGTAATCTCTTATGAAACATACTTAATACTTGGTTTGTGAAAATAATGCATTCGGTTTATAAAAAGAAAAATCTGGCTTGTAAAGAGAGATCGGATAGATTACTTTTAAAGAAGATTTAATAATTTTCCTTTTATATCAGGATATGTCCACATATGTGAAGAAAATTCATTTCAAACTACATGAAAGCTATGCCAATCAAAATAGAGGTAAGGGTTTTAGTCCCCTTTGCTTGGTACCTCTCTCTCTAACACTCCCCCCCCCCCCCCAACCACACACACACACACACACACACACTATTAACACAATATAGAATTGATTTTAATATTTTATTGTAGGAAGTGAACATGCTCACACACACACCATTGTTTGTTGATGAAGTGTATACAATATATTACTTATAAAAGCATATTTATTCCAGTTGTTTCCAAACCTCCATATGAAGTTACAGAGACTGGATGGGGAGAATTTGAAATAATTATCAAAATATTTTTTCATGATCCAAATGAAAGACCAGTAAGTGTGGATTATTAAAAGTTTGAAAAAATGATAACTGAATAAAATGCAGGAAGATGAAGTTGAGACTAATTGCATGTTTTATTTAATCAATTATTATTATTACTTTGCCATTTGCAAATTAAATAAAAAATGAAATAAAATCTCTTCCTTTTTATGACATTGATTACTTATTCAGGCCTTATCTCTCTTCAGGTGACACTTTATCATTTGCTAAAATTATTTCAAAGTGAAACTGACATCATGCTTGGTAAAAAGAACTTGGTATCAGAGTATTATGATGAACTGGTAAGTCATGAATTCTTTTTTCAAATTTATCAATACTATTCGATTTGACTGAAAACAATACTTTCAGTAAAGTATTGACAAACTATTGAGTACTGATGTACTCAGAGTACTGAAGATTGTCTTCCCATCAATGACATGGTGTTAGGCATTACCCTCCGCCTTTAAACCCGATTGCCTGTAACATAAAGTTAAATTGTGCTAAGCCTTGGTTGAAAACAGTTTAACAAAACTTGTCACAACTGTTTTAATCACCATGTTCTTAGACTGAGATGCAAGCAGGGGGTGGGGGGGGGAGGTGATTGGCAGTGATTTAGTCATATTGGAAATGTAGCACTAAACAGAGACGCGTTTCATTCCATTTCAGATATTCCAGGACCCGTCTGCCATGATGCAGCAACTACTGACGAGCTCCAGGCCTCTGACACTTGGGCCACATAAACATGAAACAGATTGTAAGTGTGTTTACACATATTGAAAGATATCTTTATGCAGAATGAAATTCAGTGAAGTAGCATGTTAACAAGGCTTTGAGATTATAAAATTATTTTCAAAAATCAAAAATACGTAACATATAAAGTTTTTAAAAATTTAAAAATGCATTGTTTTTCTTGTGGAAATTTGAGAACATTCAGATTTCAGACTGCTGTGAAATTTTATCAAGGCATAATCCCATTTTTGCTGTCAAGTAATTGTTTTATTCAATGTGATGTCTAGAGATACAGTAAACTGCCAACAACATACTAAGTTTAATTTTTCTTTTCAATAATTTATATTTCAGTTGAAGAGAAAAAAGAAAAAACTTTAAATTCTGTCATAGCAGCCAAGAACAAAATTAGATATGAAATATCTGAGCTGAATGAAAGACTAAAGCACAGTAAAGAGTCTATTCAGAAATTTAAAGACGAGATTGCAAAACTAGAAAGTCAAGATGAAGAAATTGTTGCTAAAATGGAAATGTAGCTTGATCCTGGGCTGCAAAATTCAGTGCTTTCAAAATCTCAATAGGGCATTGAAATGTAATCATATTTGAACACCAAAATGATAATGAACTGTGCATCAGGAAGGTTTGAAATTTGAAATATGAAAAATAACTGTAGCTGAAAGTTTTTACCCCAGTGGTTTGCACGGACTGTTAAGCAGCTTCAAGTTGTATATATTTGACTGCCAATTGAATACCACTAACTGTGGAAGGCATCCTATATGTATATATCTGTAATAAAAATGTAATAAAACTTTTTTTAAGCTTTTCACATTATTTAAGATAAAGTGAGACTAGAACTGCAAACTTCGTGTTATAAGTTGTGGTTTCACAATGTTTATTTGAAGATCAGTTAGCTGAAAATTATTGCAACTTTAAAGAAATATTATTGTAGTAAATTTTTTGAAATAATTTAAGCTTGAAACCCTCACTGATTAGAGCAATTTTGAAATTTGATTTGTGTGATCCACTTAGTGGTCATTCTGATTATTATTTGAGAATATCCAAGGGTTCTTTAATTGTGAGGTTTGGTTTACTTCATTTTATTGTGTTAAAATCCTCAGGACGTCAAGTTTTCATGCAACAAACCATGGCATGTTAAGTTTGTCAGTTTTGGCAGAGGGCCTGCACACTATGCTTTCTCTGAAGCCTCCTAAGTATGTGACTAAACAAGTGTTTTCACTCTATGAAATATCCAACTGGAAGTAGCAAAAAGTAAATACAAAGTTGAGCAAAGTGATTTATAAGAATCTTGATTTTATTTAATTCTGCAGCAGTGCCTGCCTGCACATTTCTCAATCTGCAGAACATTGTAATTAAGTCATCATATGGATACAACCAGTATCCAATTAAAACAAAAGTATAACAGTTGTGCACTGAAACAAATGTAAAGGTATGAATATTCACTGACTTGGGGGGCTTTTTTCTGACCCCACTGCATCCATTTGATACTTTCTGACATGTCTTGAGATGCTTTTTGTTTGTTTTGAAATAAAGTAAGTCTGGTTACATGTTGCAAGTCCACTTTTCAAAAGTTAATCAAGACTTCATGCAGCAGGTTTCTCCCTCTTTAGGTAAAATTGAAAATCACAAAAAAGACTGCAGACAAAGTTGAAGAATTTCTTTGTCTTAAGCTGTAGAATGCATACATGTCAGGCGTGCCAGCATTGCAGTATTATATTTTGGGACATTTATATCAGACCCAGGGTTCCCAGCCTGCATAAGCTCTGCCTAATATATTAGGGTCTGTTGCCTGGTCTATGAGACAAGCCACTTGCTGCTCTGGAGTAAGATCCATTTCTGCAAACTTGGTTCTTGTGTTGTCTTGTCCTTGTGTTATTGCAATAAATGCCTGATAAGTCTTCCCTCTCTTCTTGTGACCTAGTTCCAGTTCATCCCTTGAAATAAAAGAAGGGAAAAATCTGGGCAAAAACAAAAAAATGCTACTTTTCTTAAAATTAATCAGTAATATCTGAACCAGTACCACAGATTTTGTAACTATGGAAAATGTTTGGTGATTCTCATTTTATAAATTGGTTTTAAAAAAAATGAAAAATATGGAGTGATCCTCAGTGAAGGATATTCAAGTTACAAAATTTTAAAGACAGTATTCAATGGAAACAGAAAGTTGTGTAGAGTTGAAATTGGGAGCCAAGGTGGCTGGTCATAAGTGTCTCAGACTTAAGGGATAACAACTCTTCGTATGAGATCTATATTTCACAATAAATACATTGTAAACAATTACAGAAATATAATATTTTCTATTTTACCACAAAAACAGAAGTTATAGCAATTATTCTAAAATCTTTGTTTGTCATTGGACCATGTGACCTCCACTGATGGCTGCACACTGCAAAAATTTCTAAGGCGATTGTTACAAAAACCAACTTTTTAGTAAAAAAAATCAGGGACTAACTTTGAATATATAAATGGATTAACTAACCATTGCTAAGTACGGGAAAATTGTCTTTTACACTAGGAAAATTATTTTGGCCAAAATGAACAGTTATCCTTTTAAGTAAAAGATATGTAATATTTTTAGAAAGTATTCCATGTGCAGCACTGCACTTCATGACAAAGCATTCAAAGCTACCATACTTTGCACATACTCCCACATACCACTGTTTACCTAAAACAGATCTACTTTCAACAAATATCATAATGTACATGGTTCGTCAGTCAGGATCACCTTGTACAAAATATTACTTTTTTCAACTGGTCCAAAATATTATACAGAGGTGTCTACTGACCTAAACTGTTTTTTCTCTAATTACCTTGTTATACACCATGGGTTAGCACCCTTCAGTTTTCTTTTGGCAAAAGCTACTTTTTGCTTTGGGTACCACTTAGCATCCTCTTTATCCTCTTGGGATGACGGGGTAGCCTGAAGCTGTCTCTCAGCTAAAGCCTGCAATAAATTGCACTGAGTGTATCTCACATTCATCAACCAATTTATGCATATTTCTATTGATGTTAACTTTGGAGTTTTTAAAATGTATACAATAATATGCTACAAATAGTGAACACAAATAATTCAAAAGAAAACTATTTTTAAAAAGACTACTTCCACAACTGTTTGTCTTAATTCTTAATTTAATAATCTGTCCTTATCTACCAAATTTCTGCCACATACATTAAATTTTTTAATATGTCCTGCTGCACTAAGAGACCTTGTTTGCCAATTTAAACAATTAAAAAAATCTTAATTGTGTACGCTGCCAAAGGTAAATATATTTAGCATCTCTTCTTTGGAACACATCATCTAAAAACCCACGGTATTTTGTTCTAAGTAGCTTGAAAGTTATTTATCATTAAATAGCTATTAACCTACCAGCCAATCGACAGAAAGGTCTTTGACAAATACATCCATAGTGTTCAGAAGAAGATCATAGTTTGCACGCAGGGCACGCAATGCATGCACCATGGTGCTTTCTATTAATCCCTTTTCCCGCAGTGGCATCATCACATTCAAAATTTGCCTGGTCAGACGTATTGGCATGAGTTCTGGGACAGGTAAAAACTGGAAAAGGAATAGCCAATGAAATGTTGAAGAGAACTTAGCCCGTAGATGATATCACGATCAAGATACACTTTAAAAATAGTCAGAATATTTTAATGAAATATTTATTGCAGCACAGTCACTGACTAATGTATTCCTTCAACACTCTCTACTTTTTGCTTTTGTTCCTCTCTCTCTCTCTCTCTCTCTCTCTCTCTCTCAAACACCCACAATACACTGATACTACTGATATTTAAAGAGTCAAATGTATTTTAAACATCACATCATGAAATATAATCAAACCCTTACCTGTGTTGCTGACCCAAAAGCATGCCCAAAGTCGATCCCTATCATTCCTCCAGTTTCTAGGTCCACCATAAAGTTGGATAAATGTCTGTCCCCAATCCCCAGTATGTAATGACAAATACACAGCAGTGCATGGGAGATGGCAAAATGACGCCGCAGAGTATAAAATGTCTCTGGTGAGGTGCTCATTTGTAAATATGCCCTCCTGAAAAAATTTGACAATCCGTCTACAATATGTTGATTTTTATTATGAGTAAACTGCATTTTGTGTGCAAGAAACCATCAAAGCCAAAAAATCCAACACTGTTCTTACTTTGTTCTCAAAGTAAATGTGAAGAAATATTAATTTTCATCCACCTTAGCAGATCCCAGGGCAGAGAGTTTTCCTTATCTTGGCAGCTTTTGACAGCTTCTGTTCTGCTGCACTTTTCATACATCCCCCAGTATGTCTTAGGGTCTGATAGATCCCCATAACGGCTTAGAAAGCTTCTCTGTAGTATCATGGCCCTAATATTAAAAAATATATTCATAATTTTATCACTACATTTCATATCTCATTATCTAACTTGGCTTTTCATTTTAATATGTTTCTTAATTTCATAAGATGCAGTAACTGGAAAACAATATATAACATATCACAACCTATTTCAAGAAATCATGTATTAAAGTTCATGAAAAAATAATATCATGTGTGTGTGTGAATGTGTATCATCAGAAATCTATTGGTTTAAAATAATCTATAATGATGATGATGATAACAAAACTGAAATTTGTTAATCTGCACGTTAAACATGGTTTCATATCTGGCAGTTATCAAATTAAGAAGCATACTTTTGCTGTGCCTTCTCCTGTTCTGTCATGGTGCCATACACAACTTCTTTCAGTGTCTTCGTCTGGTTGACCCATTCAATTAATCCCACTCTGAAATAAAAGACATAAATTGTTATTAAAGAGAAATTATAACATTACAGCTTCCGCTAGGTTTTTCCCCTTCAATTTATATTCAGGATATCCAGAATTTTTTGTGATGCCTGGCTCAAAGATGTGATCCTGGAAGAGCTTGTAGAAGATAACTACAGTACCTCATGTACAGCTGTTTGAGCTGTATGAACCCTGACAGGTAACAGACTGGTATACATGTAATTTAATTAATACAACCAATAACTCTACAAATTGTATATCTTTCTGTTGACTGTCACTTAACAATCAACAGTAAATAATAAATGCAATTACCTGAATCCAGGTTTTAATAAGATTTTGAATATTCAAAATCACACTGTGACTTTAAAAACCATTTATAGTTACAGGAAAAGTTCACAACACCCACCTTGTGGTCATTGGAATCACTTGGTAAGTTCTCAGTTTGTACTGTCTTGGTTTACAATCTGGGTCTTGAGAAAACACACGATTCATAATGTGAAAAAGCTGTTCAAGTCTTTGATCTTGCCGCAGATCTTCTCCTCCCTTCACCAAGAATTTGTGATCTTTCATGTCAGTCCCATTTATAGTAATCCTTTTGGGCCTACGCAGGGAAGACAGCACCAGGACTCTGGAGTCAAAGCCAGCTATTTTCACATGGTATTCTGGCAAAGGTTTTGACAAACCTGTATATTGTCCTGAAATCATAATCATAATTGTAAATATTTTGATTCACATTTTGCTTTCAATCCAAAGGTAGTAATTTTTTTGAATTTTCATAATACATGCACATTTCAAATACTTCAATATACCTTGATTATATTCCAACCAAAATCTGCAGTCAAAACAGTTATCAAGAAACAACCACTGAATTTGGGTAGATGCAGTGCACACCTGGTATTTCTAGACTGAGGTCCATGTCCTGGGCAGCCAGGCCAGACATCCACTTGGAGTAGTCACCCAGTTTCTCTGATGGAACCAGATTTGGATGACCTTTTGTACCTTTGGACGCCAGGTCCATCTTTTTAAGGATTCCGTCAGCGGCCTTTTTGAAGCTCTTAAAATAAAATTCACTTTAGAAATTGGAACTCTATAATGAAAACTTAATTTTAACTTCAATAAGTACTTGCTTGTATCACCCAATTAGTTTCTGAGAAATGAATGTGACTATCTTTTACCCAGAATATGTTCTGCCACTGCTAATACATGACCGCTTTCAGGTTTTCAACAAGATCATTAACAATTACTCCATTTTAAGTGTTGATATATCATTTATGCATTCTTGAAAAAAATTGAATCAAACAAATATTAAGTTTTCTTTTCATTTTTTTTTCAAAATTACAAACTATTTGTACTTTAATAATGGCTGTATTTTCATAGTCAGGAGTCAAAATAATCCCTACTATTGCATTTCTGACTTTAAAAAGTGACCAATGAGGTATACCAGCCCGCTTGGCGCCAGGTGTCGCTAGTGTGAATTCAGTCCTTCCACAGTCGCCATGTTGGATATCATATACGTTGGACTGTGGCACTGGCCTTAATAAACATGCCTCAGTATTGTTGTGTACCTGAATGTCAAAGTCGGCAAGGTGGGCATAATTTTCCTGAGGATTCAGGGCTTCGTTTGAAGTGAAGGGTTGCCCATGTCAACACACCTTCTATGTTAAAAGGACAGTTACAACTTGACCCAGGCACAGTAATTAGGCCCCTAAAGATAGACGAATTGCCTCAAAAAGAATACACGTAGAAAGGTTAATTGATCTTGGAAAAACTTATAAAGTTTTGGAAAGAGAGCTCCATAGCAAGAAAGTGCCCCTAGGGAGTACGATTTATCAAAGTGCGTTTTCTTCTTATGTCCGTAATTTCAGAAGAGTTGTCAGTAAATATACATAACTGCCGGTAGCCTTCTACCCGCATAAGGTTGTGTTATTAAGTAATATCCTTTTTTATTGATGTATTGAGCATGACCGGTAATGTTAATTAAATAATTATTTTTATTTAAAAAAATTATTCAGTACATCGTAAGAATCATAAAACTAGGTATAGTTAGATAATTTATGTGTACATGTATAGATGCAATTTCTCAGCCAATGCAATAATGCATGTTTGGAAATCTTTTTGTAACAGTTTAAGAAATAAAATTTAAAGAAAGAAAACATTATATAAATGAACAGTTTTTATTCTTTTTTTTTTTNCTCTAGTTTAATCAATACAACCAATAACTCTACAAACTGTATATATTTCTGTTGGCTGTCACTTAACAATCACAGTAAATAATAAACGCAATTGCCTGAATCCAGGTTTTAATAAGATTTTGAATATTCAAAATCACACTGTGACTTTAAAAACCATTTATAGTTACAGGAAAAGTTCACAACACCTACCTTGTGGTCATTGGAATCACTTGGTAAGTTCTCAGTTTATACTGTCTTGGTTTACAATCTGGGTCTTGAGAAAACACCCGATTCATAATGTAAAAAAGCTGTTCAAGTCTTTGATCTTGCCGCAGATCTTCTCCTCCCTTCACCAAGAATTTGTGATCTTTCATGTCAGTCCCATTTATAGTAATCCTTTTGGGCTTACGCATGGAGGACAGCACCAGGACTCTGGAGTCAAAGCCAGCTATTTTCACATGGTATTCTGGCATAGGTTTTGACAAACCTGTATATTGTCCTGAAATCATAATCATAATTGTAAATATTTTGATTCACATTTTGCTTTCAATCCAAAGGTAGTAATTTTTTTGAATTTTCATAATAAGTGCACATATTAAATACTTCAATATATCTTGATTATATTCCAACCAAAATCTGCAGTCAAAACAGTTATCAAAACATAACCACTGATTTTGGGTAGATGCAGTGCACACCTGGTATTTCTAGACTGAGGTCCATGTCCTGGGCAGCCAGGCCAGACATCCACTTGGAGTAGTCACCCAGTTTCTCTGATGGAACCAGGTTTGGATGACCTTTTGTACCCTTGGACGCCAGGTCCATCTTTTTAAAGATTCCATCAGCGGCCTTTATGAAGCTCTTAAAATAAAATTCACTTTAGAAATTGGAACTCTATAATGAAAACTTAATTTTAACTTCAATAAGTACTTGCTTGTATCACCCAATTAGTTTCTGAGAAATGAATGTGACTATCTTTTACCCAGATTATGTTCTGCCACGGCTAATACATGACCGCTTTCAGGTTTTCAACAAGATCATTTTAAGTGTTGATATATCATTTATGCATTCTTGAAAAAATTGAATCAAACAAATATTAAGTTTTCTTTTCATTTCTTTTCATTTTTTTTTTTCAAAATTACAAACTATTTGTACGTTTAATAATGGCTGTATTTTCTTAGTCAGGAGTCAAAATAATCCCCACTATTGCATTTCTGATTTTAAAAAGTGACCAATTATACATTCCAAATACAGTGCTATTAAAGCTAAAATATGCATTTCCAAACAGCTCCATTAATATGTTCATACCTCTTCACTCATTGTCATTATTTTCTTTCCATCTTTTCCAAATGCACTGTCAAGGTCTTTGTAATAAGCCTATAAAATTTAAACTAAGCTTTAGTTTATCAATTTTCTAAATTTTCAGAACAATTAGTATGAAATACATTCAATCATGTCTCCTTTGTATCTCAAGGTCTTTGCAATATAATAGTTCTATATAATATAAACTAAGCTTTAGTACATCTCAATTTTCAGCAACAGTTAGTAAAAAAACACATTCAATCATGTCTCCTTTGTATTCCAAGGACTTCAAAGTAGGATCATAAAATAGAAAACAGAATATAAATTGATTGAAATGTAATTAAACAAAAACTTCTGAGCACACAAGTTGAAATTTGGCCCATCTCAGACTGCTCTTTTACTTTAAAATGAGCATTGTCAGACTGATCCTCTAGGAGAAGTTTTCATTTCTTCACAGAAATTCCCAAAATTGAGGAATTAAACGTATTGCAGGCATGCACATACATACACACTTGTGTGCACACACACACACACACACACAGGCGTTTGCACTCATTTCATATCCAATATGATTGACCTATTACTAGTTACAAGTCAAATTTTTTTAAGTTCGATTATGATTAATTTGAGCCTTTGCACTTTTTCTTTCATTTAAATTCAATTATATTCTATTGCGTATCATACTTTATCTATTTAATGACACAACAACTATACCTTGGCAAACTTTTGCCTGTATTGTCCAATTTCTACTGAGTCTGGTTCTGTGTCATAGAGATCTTGTGACACTCCACCAGCTTGCCTCTGTGTCATCATGAGACTGGAGTACATTTGTGTGTAACACCGCTGTACAGCATCTGCATTTCTCTGCTTGACATGCAACAATTTTGCCATCTCTCCTATCCAGTCCTACACAAATTTCAACATGAAATCAATTCAAATATTAAAGAAATGAGAAATCCCTTATCTCTTACTTAACCCTTCACATAGTCCCATACACAAAAACATCCTACCCCAAATTTTGTAACACGTCAAATGGAAATCACACCAAAACAAAAAAATTCTCATCATCTAGACTTTCTAAATATCTTTATCTTTAGACATCATCAGTCCTAAGTATCAAGTTCTCAGCACAGCATTATTTCTGCTATCTAAGGTCAAACTGATAAAATACTTAAAAACATGTAAAATAAATAATATTATCCATGTTTCATTTCTAGTCACCTTAAATAGCGCATTTGGTTGGCCAAATTGTTCTAAAGCGTTGATGAATGTCTCTACAAGTGGAATTTTACTCAGTGAAAAATCCAGTCTGAAAGAAAAAAGAAAATATTGATAAAAAGTGTGTGTGCATGCCTATATGTATGTGCACTTCAAAGAAAAAATCTCTTAACCCATATCATTTCTTTAATATGTCATTGATAAAATATAAGGTTATCTTCTTAACTTATCAGATGTTCTTCTGACAAAAATAACTTTAAAATGCTGAATGATAAACTCCTCCAAATACATGTACCAACCTCTCAACAACAGCTAGATTCTCTTTTCCTTCTGAAGATCGCTCAAATGTGTAACACTCTTTACTAACTTTAAATGGATAAACCAATGCCTGAAAATCAACAACATCTCACACTCAAATACAAAAGAAAACAAGAAAACATTTTATTGCAGCATCTCTTTGAGGGATTTGGGGAAGGGGGCAGTCATGATTAACTAAAAAAGCAATGAACACTTTTTTCTCAACAATAATTGCTAGTTGTCTATCTATAACAAACTTGACCAAATAATATCATCCTATTTTGATGTAAGCTTTGAATAATAACTGAAGTACACCTGGAAGTCTCACAACTTTTCTCATAAAACTTCACTTCATATTATAATTTGTCAATTCTTTAACATAAAAAGAAGAAATGTGACATTAGGAAGAGAAAAAAATGTTTTACTACCTGTGGATATTCTCTGGCCATTCTAATTAGTATGTTGTGGACAGCAGGGGCTTCAGGCTTGTCCAGCAGGGCTACTAACTGACCAATCCAGGTCATGAACATCCAGCATGGAATGACAGACACCTGTAGGGTAAATTATCGTGGAGTACATAAGATATTCTATTTTGAATAAAACCATTTTACTAGTATCTGGCACCAGATTTAACTGAGCTTTGAAAAGTAATATTTATATTTCAATTTAAAATACTTATAATATGAAAATAAACTAGAGAGCACTCTGAGGGTGCAAATCCCTGCCAAAGCAAAAAAAAAAACTAATTTAAAAATAACTTAAAATTATAAAACATATTAAGAGGCCTACATCAGTTGAAGGTGTGATCACTTCTTTCCACCCTGAATAATTATCATGAAAACAAACTGCGTAGTTGGGGGAAGAAACTATACACATTTTCATCCGTAAATAAGGTAAGCAAACATGACAATATTAAAGCAATTAATGGTTTAATCTACTGCTACTATCTGCCTTCCATTGATGATGTCAATGAACAGACAGGAGGAGGACCAAGTACCTTACCTTATTAATGAAACCTTGCATAGTGTCTGGATAATATTCCACCAGCTGTAACAGACGTGGGAAACGCTGCCTGGCATCCATGTGGTCAAGCTCAATACATCTCAGGAGTGAAGTGACCACTGCCTCAGGATAGCTGTCTATGGATTCACCAGTCAAACTATCATCTTGAAAAGTTTATGTTTAAAATTAGACTCACTCTTTCTTTCTTGTTATATTCAATAGAACTTTTTCTTGGAAAGTATGCATATCATATGATTTGTACACCTTCCAATATATCATAAATAATACAAATTCTTTAAAAGAAACCTTTTTACTCCATTTTAATAATCACTTAAACTTTCACCATGCCTATCTGTGTTTCTAGCATTCTGTAAGAATATACCTTCTTCTCTAAGCTTCAAATATTTGTCACAGTACTTGGCAAGAGCCATGTGTGTCTCTACAGTGCTTTTATCATTGGAAGAATCTTCTTCATAAATATCTACAGCCTCTTTGATATACTGGTATCCTCTGTCTACAAGACCATTGATGATCTGGAACAATATTGAAAATATTGTTCAAAATATACTCACACATGTATGTACAAATGCACAAGCACACTGACATTACTTCAAGCTATTAATTTTAAACAAATGCAATGAAGAGGGCCTATCAATGCAATTCAAAATAGGTGTATGTCATATCAGACTGCAGTAAGTACTGTGAAAACAATGGTTTACCTCTTGCATGTCAGCATTCTGCATGGAGCAGCCGGCTGCTTCTACCAATTTTTGGACATCTTTGGGTGACACTGAGCTTAAATCTGGCAGTGAAAGAAGACTAGATGTCACAGAGTCAAAGATGTTGCCCTGAAGAACCAGATGTCTCCTTGTTAAAACACTGGACTCTTTCAACAGTTTATGATCCCGTTTTCTTTCTGAAATAAAATTTAAGATACCACTAATATGAAACTAAACTAGAAAGCACTCTGAGGGTGCACCCCCCCCCCTCCCCCTGGCAAAAAGTAAAAAAAAACTCATTAAAAAAAACCATAAATGAAATGGCAACAAAACTGTTACATGCACAGAGATGAAAGGGCCAGCTTTTAAATTCTTTTTTTTTTTCAGAATAGTGACAACAAAACTGGCATATGCACAAACATAGAGACTTACATCAACACAAGGTTAAACAATATACAAAGTAAATTAGTTTTCTGTTAAACCAGACAAAATAAATAAATTGGTAAAGTATTTGACTGACTGAAACTTTTCAGCACTTTTTTTCCAAATGGATCTAGAACTGGTTTGCTAAGCAGAAAAAATTTCCTATCCCTAAGAAAAAATGAGACTGCATGATCATAACATTTAGCTGTTATGCTTATTTGTTTAATACACTAAAATGTACTGAATTGTTTACAGAGCATCATGCTTGCTGACAAACTTATCCTTTTTGTCTCGTCTTTCTTTAAAATAATTCTATAAAAGGTGAACCTGGCAGCATTAAATGTACCTAGAAGTCCCAGAGCTCCTAGCACAGGAGACAAAGTAGCACTGGCATCCATGGTAACCTCAGTGATTTTGTTGTGCAACTTTGCATAGCAGTGGTAAAACTGAATCAGGACAGGGCTTTCACTCAGACTCTTCACTTCCTACAACAAATTTAATGATATAATATGTTAATATCAGATATTTTATGTATGTACTATGTATTAATGTATGTAGTTGTGTAAATACTGGCACATCCACATATGCATAAAACAGATGGTGAATTGCAATATTTTTAAACGGTTGAACATAAAATTAGTTATTCACATTTTAACGGCCTAAGATTTATATCTTCTCCATCCAACTCCATTTAACAAACAGTGAGCATCAATTTTATCAAGTTACAGTGTACTTTTAACAGAACCTAAAATGTCACTTAACAGATTCAATGATTTTGAGTTTTTTCTTGGCCACTGGGAAGTTGTGTTGCTCCACAGCACTCTCTGCCTGAGCTAGGATAAACTGTAGTCTCTTTTCTCTGAATTTGTCTTCTTCCTCAAACTCCTCCTGAACTGAGGACAGCTTGTGGCAGAGTTGGTCTACATACAAACAACTGAAAAGGGAAATAGGGTACCAGTAATGAATGGGTCAGAAAAAGATGATCAAAATTGAAAGGGATTAAAAATGAAAAATTACAAAATTATGAAAGTTGTGAATAGTAAAAGAAAGTTATCTATCTAATAAAAGTATATGGATAGTGGAAATAGAAATGGCTTAAATGCAAACAAAACTTGAATAATTTCAAATATCTTCAATGTAAAAATGCAATATGCTTAAATACTACTTTTCAAAATTTCATTCTTGTGCTAAATATTAAGTCATAATGGTCCTGATGTAGCCCACTGCTTTTGTCAAATGCTGCCCAGACTACCAACTTACTTCCAAACTTCCACAATTTTACACTAGTGAACAGTTATAATGACAGACTGCCATGCTAACACTGGCTCCATTCCAAGTGTCAGGTAAAATGAACCAAGGTCTATAAAATTTGTGAAGTAACAGTTTTCTTTTTTTCTTTTTTTTTGCTTTGGCCTGCCAGGCCAGCACATTCTCTTTCTGGTATCCTGAGGGACCAATAGTTTTATTAAAAGTAATCTTGCAGAGTCAAAGAATCAACTGACTAGAAAATCTCACCGGTTTGTAACAATATCATCCCAGATATTGCACGGCTCCACAATGGGATCTGGTGATCTCGTCTGCCATCTTGTCACCAAACTTAGAGCAGCTTGGGAGTCTTGGAAGGTGTCTGAATAGGAAAATAAACGTTTTTAATTCATGAAAAAATAATGAGCTCCAAATGTAGACATACACGTCTTGACCATGGTTAAGAGTTGTCTGTGATAGAACTCAAGTCCTGAGGTACATTAATTTGGGCCATGGTCAAAGTTGTATTCACATCTGAAAAGTCAACAATGACAGAACAGCAGCTGAAATTGCTGAAGTATGGATGCAGTTACAGACTAGATTTTATGAATAGAAACCCTAATGGTAAAATTAAACCATATATTAAATAAAATCACTTCTCTGCAAAAGAACATGAACAAATGAAAATAGCTCATTCTGACAATGTCTAGATAATTTAGTCTTACCTTCATTGCTCACAAAATCTAAAAATTCTTGCATTTCTGTCAGTTTTTGAAGGATCTGTAATTTTCCAATTCTGGTGGTAGTCATCAATGTGTCAATACTGCCCCAATCCTAAAATCAGAGAATATAGAAAAAAACTTTTCTGTAGACATAAGACTATTTCACCTAACTTCCAACTGAATGGCTAAACAAAATGAAAATTAAAGGGATAATAATTCTTCGTTTTGGCCAAAAAATGAATTTTCCTGGAGTAAACAACAATTTTCCCACACTTACCAATGGTAAATGAATCCATTTTAACATTCAAAGTTAGTCCCTGGTTTTTTTCTAAAAAGTTTGGTTTTTTGTTAAAATCTCTTAAGAGATTTTAACAGAGTATAGCCATCAATGGAGGTCACGTGGTCTAAAGACAAGCTCAGATATCAGAATAATAGCCATAACTGCCATTTTTGTGGTAAAACAGAATATATTATATTTCTGTGAGTTATTCACAATGTTTTTATTGTGAAATATAGATCTCATACGAAGAGTTATTATCCCTTTAAGATAAACTAATAACATCAATTATAATGATAATATTAATTATTTGATATATCAAGAAAACTACGGAGATTATCCTTCGTATAATTCCACTCAAGGAGGTGTAATATAGACCTGACATTGTCAAAACGACAGAGATAAGAATAATGCTGTAAAAGTAGACCCCCCTTCCCCTGTATTTTCAGTTTCTTAAACACTAAAACATATTTAAGCAAATATACAAAATGTGACAATTTGATAACAATCCCTGATGATGATGATGATGATGATGACCAGAACTACTTAATATATATATATATATATATATAAATTATATATATATATATATCAGATAATTAAGACCAGTGGGTTCCACACCTGAAGGAATGTCTTGAATACAATGCTGGTGTAGTGCCTGGCTCTCGCATAGTCTTCTTGGAACAAGTACAGTAAAGCCAGTTCCTCACTATAGCGGGCCTGCAACAAGTGGTATAAAACCATTATTAATGCATGCATGCACTAGCATGTAAGTGCATGTGTACATGTATGTTTTATTAACATATATGAATGTTTGCAAGTGTCTACTTGTGTAAGTGCAGTGCTTACAGCTGTAGATGAAATGGTTTTATACAGACTAGAAATTACAAATATTTGTATCTGAAGAGAAAAATCAAAAGTTAAATCTGCAGTTACACAAACCAGGAACTGAAATAGACACTCTAAAATTCAGACACAAAGCACTTGTTACTGTAATGTTCAATGAACCATGGGAGCAGTAGGTTCTATTTATGAATCAACTGAATATTCTGGTGACTAATTTGTACTCACTTCCAAAAATACTTTCTGTTCCTCTACTTTCATGGAATTATCTACAAAATCCAGCAAGTCCTGCTGGTCTTCATTGCCCTGCAGCAATAGTTTCACCTTGCTTCTTAAAATGTATGGCAGGTAATGCTCCTAGAATTTTTACAGACATATGTGTTATTTAACGTAAAATTTGAAAATTAATTTGACATG